AATAAATATTTTATTTTGCTTCTGTTGTGATGTTCATTGACTGTAAGCCACACAAATCAGAATTTCTATTCTTTGCTTATCCAGCTGCTGCTGTTACTTGTTTCATTCACAGTGCTTTTGCATGAAGCAGCAAGCTGACACTTGCCATGTTTTTTATTCATTTTTCTCAGAGCACTAGATTGAGATGACATAGTTTTTGAACCACGTTTGAATCTATGAACTATGTTTGATTTTTGTAGGCAGAAATCCAGAAGCAGTACATCTTTGTAACTGTTCTGATCTGAAAAATTCTAGGCATTTTAAAAAGAGATTAGTATGGATAGCCTATAGTTACAGAAATTGAAGCAGATCTTGTTTAGCCTTGTGTCCCTAGGTCATTTAGCAGTGTTATCTGGATTTCACCCATAACTCACAGAAATAGGATTGGAAATTTTTAATTGCTTGTATGATTTGTGGTCTGAGTAACTGTGGGAACTTTTGGTTGCTGTGGTTTTCTTCATTTCTAAGGTATTTCTTGTAGCTAGGAACTTGAACCTGGAGCACTTGAGGTCTGACGCTGATTCTCACTTTAACTGGAAAGATAATCAATCTTTCTGTCCTTCTGACAGGCATAAATTCATCAGTTAGTTTCATTGCAAGAATAACTCATATTTGGAGCTGTTCAAGTTCAGTGAAAAGAACCTTAACTAAGATCTATCCTCCCATGTTCAATAGTAATTTTATGTATTTCCTTCATTGAAATAGAAAGTGTTTTTCCTCCATGTACATGGCTTGAGGCCTTTCAGACCACAAAATAATGGAACAAGAGTTCTTGTGAGCTAGGTCTAATGAGAGTTGAAGACTGAATTTGAGATAAACAGGGTCTGACAACTTTCCATTCCCTTATTTCTAGGACTCACTTTTAACTGTAAAGGAAAATAAATAGTAAGGACAAATAAAACCCCTGAATTTTAAGTTAGTATACTTGAATAAAAATGACTTTAAAACAGTTAAGCTCTTTAAAAATCACTTGTGTGAAAGAATAACAAAACTGTCTGTAGTTTTAGAAGTAACTTTCATATTCTTCCCCTTTCATCTCCCTTATTTCAACATACATGGTGAAATCCACAGAGATTTACATACAGATATTTTATCTGTAAATCTATCTAATTGTGCTTTGAAGGTTTCTATCAGTACTCTTTTCCAGTACCTTGTAAATCATTACTTTAAACACATATTTCCCAGATATCCTTGCTCCAAACATCTGCGTGGAAGTCTGTTGAAAGAAATGGGAATCCTTTTTACTGGCTGTCATGGATCAGATCTCCCAGAGATACTTTGGCCTAAGTTTCATGTTTGCTTAGGCACAATGATATGAATCACATTTCACTCTTCTTTAAAGAATGAGCTGCTTGTTAACTGTAGTCACAACTAAGCTGGAGACAGACTGGTGAGGAAAGTATAGCTTAATAGTAGCTGAAGTTTAAACCTGAATTTTGATGAGAAAAGTAATGCACGCAGTTTATACTAATTCTGAGTCATACTGCATTGTGATTTTTTGAAAATTTTCAATTTCGTCTATTTAAATTTTATCATGGAAGAAAACTGCTGTTATTTATGTGCTGAAATATATTGAATAATATTTTTTTATGTTCTTGTACTGGCATAAAAACATTGAATACATATTGGAAGAGAGAGTTGTCCTTCCTGTTTTCCACTTTATGCTCTCTACTCAAGATACTTTAAATAATTACATGCTCTCATCTGTACCTGATTGATTTTAATGATATCAGAGTGACTGCAAATGCAATTCTGTACTCCATAAGTCATCCAGTAATTATTTCTGTGAGAAGTTGCAGAATTTTCCTGAAAAGTACCTCAAATGTTTCCATCAGAGGTGAATATGTTTCTGGGAGGCGGGTTGCTGTGAAGTCTGTCTTTGCTCTGAAAATTTGGTCACAAAAGGTACTCTGTCAATACAATGTCAATGTGACAAATATAACTTTAATTATAAATCTAGCATTTATTTTGATCACAAAAAAACATGAGAATTTTTTTTAATGATACACAAGGAAAAACAGTCTGTTTTGGAAGCACAGGGAAGGAAAAACCTGCATGTCCTCCCTTTTTTTTCTTTTTCTCTGACAACAGGCAGTGAAAGGGTTTAGGGAAGTGGATGGTGTCCTTAAGAAATGAGCAAAGATCATTGTGGTGGAGAGAGAGGGGAGAGAAGTTTGAGGGAAAGCAGAAAATGCTGTTGTTGGAGAGGCTGAGGCATTGGAATCAGGGTGATATATACTTTTCATTATCAGGAACAATTATTCCAGCAAGAACAGCATGAGACTTCATGAAATGTTTTTAAACTCAGTCTCCTGATAGGAGAGCATTACATAACTTGTGCTTTGTGAACACTGGCAACCCGCAACCTACAGAAAGACACAGCCAGAAGCAATGCGCTCAGCTGCTTGCTTAAAAAAAAAATAAAATCTGAGTCAAGCGTTAAACAGGCAAACTTATCTTTACCCTTCCCCCATTCTCTCCATCAACAGAAGCCTGGTTTTCATCACAGATTAATAAGTGAAACCTTTTATCATTTTACCATGCTTCCCGCAGCCTTTTGGTAGAAATTAACAATGCTCCAAGTCAACACTGCCACAGTGCTTAAGATGTCTTTGCATGTATGTTCACTTGAAAGAGCAGTGACGGTGGGGTTAGAGAAAGGGTTTTAAACTGCCTGAGAATATAACCTCAGAAACTCTGGGATGTTCTTGATTGCACCTGGTTTGACAAATGTCTGTTGGAGAGGTCTTATTATTGCTTTTGTCTTTCAGTTTTATAATAACTACTATTTTGTTAAAAAGAGTCTTTGTTACATATTCTGTTGTCTCCTGAAGTGACTATTTGTATCAATAGCTGTTAAGGAAATATGTGTAAGTGCTCAGGAATTCTAATTAAGCAGACTCAGCTGGAGCAAATAGCTGGAGGATTTCACAAGACTGTTTTGAAATTATAGGCAGGCCAGAAAACCAGGGAAATTCTTGAACTTTGGAGTTCTACCACAGTGGACTTAGCCACTAAATCTTACTTATTTGTTTTCATATCAATGGGTTTGTACACCATATTATTTCATAATCCCTGTTGGTAGTTGTTCCTCTTTTTTACTTTCTCTTCCATCTGCATCTAGAAAAGATGCAATTTAGCCAAGCAAGCAGAACCTGTTTTGCATTTCTCAGAGAAGACTTTATGGAACTAAGTACTATACAACTTAGTTGGGTTGACATGATTTATTTATGAGAAAACAAAATGGTTAATTGTCCTTAGAGGTAGAGACAATCAAGCACTCAAGAGGAATTCAGTTGTAGGTAGTCACTGAAATTATGAAACTCTAATAGTTAAAGCTAATATTAAGTCTACTGTAATATATTTTCTGTGTAGTATACTCATTACAAAAAAAAAAGGCTAAAATTTTCTGTTATGCAACTCTTTATATCTCTTTATTATATGGTAAACACTTCTCTGTTTTGTTTTCCAAGGTCCATCATTCTCTGTCTAATCTACCCTTGCTAACAAAAATGACAGTAACAAGCCAGAGAGCCAGAGCATTCTCTGTCCCTTTGTTTTCACTCTGCTGGATGAACACATGTTTTTCCCTTTGCCTTTTCTCCTTTTTTTGTCAGGTAAAGGAAGACATTTGTATGTTGCACTAAGGAAAAGTGATTGAAAAGTGGAAGACCATACTTTTCTGTTCAGCAAGCTGCAATCTGTTTTCAGTCTGATGTTTGGTGAAAGGAAGCTTCAGAGCTGTGGGCCAGCTGCCAGGAATGTCTGATTTCCTTTCCACCCATTCCTATGATCCTCCCTTTTGGCAGTGATTACCGATGACCACAGCTGTCATGCTAGGTCATGGTAAGCTGTCAAGCAAGGTAGTACACAAATTGTACAAGGCCCAGACCTTGATTTGTGCTGAAGAACAGAATCTTAAACTGAATCTAGTATCAGCAGCATGCAGTATTGGACTGATGTCAGCTTATTCTGATTTCTTGAGAAGGTAGACAAATAGAAGTTATTTCTCTAACAAACAAAGCTTCCTCACAACTTTTTCGTAGCTAGTGATATCCCAAAGCAAAAGGAAGGGCTGTAATGTCAGTAACAACAAAATTGGCTAAGTCCTCCCAGCCAGCTGAAACTATAAATAGCACTTTGGCTTGCTCTTGCTCATAAAAATGTAATAACACAGGAGAACTCCATAATCATAAGTCAATAATCAGAAGAATAGAGTTCAGATGGCTGTGCTGCATGCAGCACTTTGAAGGGGTGACCAATGGTTGACCAGATGTCAATGCGGTGGATGTGGCTGAAAATCACAACAGAATTGCAGGCTTTGGTTCAGAAAATGATGAATGTTGTTGTCAAGGACATAATTTTCTATAAAGAGGACTTTTATTCTATGAAAGGTAGCATTTTGTTAAGCTTCACGTGTTCAGTGCCAAGTGCAAAAATGTCTACTGAAGAGGTAGTGCTTTACTATGTCTTATACTGTACTGGCTTCATAATGAGCTTTTTGCTGTAACATCTGCTCTTCTTCTAACAGCGTATTAAATAGCGTGACTAAAATCCATTAGGTGTTTGCTCTGTATGTCTTTCTCAAAAGATAGTGGCATTTGTATAGGAGCGTCTGTTTTAAAAACATGCAAGAATAGGTAGCTTTCTGTTTTTCAGAAGGGGGGAGGGGCAGGAAAAAAAGTTAACCCCTGTGGGGCAGGAGGTCGTGTGTGCTGAGACTGTCCATTGTTTTTGTGGGAGTTTATAGCAGCCTTAGGCTGGCAGAGCCATGAAACTTGCCTTAAAAATAGCCTTGGGTATATGAGATGTAGCTGATGTTGTTTTCCTCCAGTTCTCTTTTTTAGAAGACAAGATCTGCTCCTTGGAGTCTTACTGCAGATGGAGGGATGATCCACCTTAGCAAGTCCCATCTCAACTTCATCTGGGTTTGATTTAGTTAGGTCACTCTGAAAATAATGGGTTTTTTTTTAGTTTTATGGAAGCCACAACAGCTACAAAGAACACAATAACACTATTTGAAGGAGCAAATAGTCACCACCACTAGCTGTGCAAGGTCCTGCATGCTGTGCTTGTGAAAGTCTCTAACAGCAGAGGTGACCCAATGTTCCACAGCTGCTATGATGATGTTGTTGCTAGGAAAATGTTTCTCATGCAGTCCATCTTTCATTGGTTCAAACCGGTGGAAGTCAGAAGGCGCCAAATCTGGACTGTACAGTAGATGTGTTAGGATGATCTAAAGAATACTTGAAGTGTGCTCCAAAGTCTTCAAACTGGCATGGGGCCTGGTGTTACAGTGTTGCAAGAGAAAGATTGTCCTATTCTCTGGTCTAACTCTGGAAGTTCAAGCCTTCAGTTTAGTCAGTGTCACAATGTAGTGGTCAAAATTGATGGTTTGTCTGGATTCCAGGAAATCCAGTAGGATCATCCCTTTCCTATCCCATAACACAGTCTGTATCACTTTACCTAGAGGCTGCGTCTTGAACTTTTTCTTTGATGGAGTGGCCATCCAGAACATGGCTTGTCCTTCATACTGCAGTTGGCACTGCTGAAACGTATCACACACTGCCTTACTGTGTGCACATCCACTGTTTGGTCTCCATAAACGTTCAACAAGTGTCAGTGAATATCAATAGGTACCATTTTTTTTCTGCATGGAGGAGTTCAATGACATACCTTTGCTTCATCCACATTTCCATGTCAGACACCATTCTGTCAGATTGCCCCTTTGCTGCCACCTGTTGTACAGTGACAAAGAGTAACAATATTGGTGGAGAGATTCAGCCTTTATTGCCATACCACCAACATCCACCTCTGATGTCATGGGCCAACATAATAAATTGACATTCAGATCGGCCATTGTACTTTGAAACAATAAGCACAGTTGCACTCCTTTTACCTTCTGTTAAAAAAAAATAAATACCTATGGTCTAGTAACAGATCATACATTGAATTCTATTAAATTTGATTTTATTAAGCTCTTACACAAAGTTTGGAGAAGATTCCAGGAACTCTCTGGACAAGTGCCAGTTTCTTTACGTTTCTCCTGGTCAAACAAGGCAACTAATGACTGCTTTCACAAGGCTGGGGAATCCACAGCTACAGTTAAGAGGGGGGGGGGGGGGGGGGGAAAAAAAAAAAAAAAAAAGCTGTAATAAATAAACAAGTCTGTTCACAAACCCTTCCTCAGGAAACCAGCATGGGAAGTGCAAGCATTTAGAATGACAATCCAACATGTTCTGCCAAAGTGCAACTTTCCAAAACAGCTGTAGAAATGGCTACAGTTTCCTTGAATTTTCATTTTAATAGCATTAATAAGCTCAACTGTTTATATGTTAATCTAATTGTTTTCATGCTATCAACTTTATCTATAAGTAAAAAAACTTGCAGAAGTAACGCTCAAGAGACAGCGACAAACGAGTAAATGCTACACTCTGTGAACTCAGCTACCTTCCAGTCTCCATTCAGGTACAGTTGGTTTTGAGACTGTGACAGAAGCTGCCGTTTGGTTGCCCTGTGGGATGCCACGTTTGCTTCATTTGTGCAGAAAGCTTTTCATAACTGTCCCATGTCTGGAGCTCTCAGGAATGAATATGCTTCCTCTCTTTGAATAATGGCTGAACTCCCAGTGGAAGAGGATATATTTAAATAACCACGTTGCCATGTGGAGTATCTCATGATTTCAATCCTCAGAGTCCCTGAGCTATCTGTACACATATTTATAATCAGCCTGGTGAGCACTCTCCCTGGCTATTTATCACCTGTGAGGCTGTGTTTCCATTTCACAAGTGTAATTCTATAACATAAGAAGATGGTATGTTCTGTGATTAGCAAATTTATATATGTATTTTTCTCCAAGAATGGAAGGTTCCTAATACAGGACAAACAGCTTCCTTTGTGTAATATTATATATTTTTTCTCTTTCCTTTGCTGTCTTCAAGAATGGTGGAAGATAATATGCTGAGGCATCGAAAAACTTCTGTATCCGGTGCTTGCTGCCATGTTAGTGAATTAAGCTTTCTGCAAGTATTTGCAACTGGAATTACCTATGCCCACACTAATGAACTCTCCTATACTCCAAACATACCCTTGACTTCTGGGAGCAGTCTCTTGCCTATACTATCTCCTGAGCTGTGAAGAAGAATTAACTGAAACCTAGCACTCTCCTGAATGCTAACTGGCACACACACTGAAACTGTGTCAGTGATGCTCTACCATTTGAACAGGAAATGTATTTGGTGTTTTGTTTAATTTACCCATACAGGTGCAGATCTTGTCTATAGTCAGACTTGTCTGTCCTGGTCAAAACAGAGGGATCAAGTTTCTAAAGTGAAATTCAGATGCTAACATTTCAATTTAGGTTGGGAGCCCATAAGACCGACCTTAACCTTGGTGGTTTCTGAAAGCCCAGAGAGGCATACAATTTTGTTGTTAACTTCTTTACATTGCACTGTCTTTTATTCAGAAGTAATATTATTTTGGTAAGACTGAGTGTCCTGGCACTAAAGCATTAATAGAAGTCACAGAATGGTTTTCTGAGTTGACATTTCCTGAAGAACTGGGTTTGGTAGGTCTGTTTGTGGGAGCAGTAGTCTGTTGAGCACAGAAGCCAGCAGCTGCAGCCACTTGTATTCAGAATCCTGGGTTGTGATGATAGCTGTTAGCTGCATTGGAGCTCCTGCTTAAATGGTCAAAGCCACATCTTTCACCTCAGGTAAGACCTACCAAAGCTGGTTGTTGCCTGTTTCCTGCAGAAGCCTTCTGTATTCTGGGCTGTAGATAAGGTGAATGGTAATATTAGCACTGGCTGTGTTTAAGATGCTCTGCACTTTAAAGAAAGGAAGGATTCCAGGTGTGGTTCTTTGTTTGGCATTTCATTCAGCAGGTATGTATTGTCTGAGGGTTCTGGCTGCTGGAGATCCCATTGCCAGGGATGAAGCTGCTTTTAGATGGCACAGGAGTTGCTATCTGGGCTGAGACTGTATGGCCCCCTCTTAGAGCAGATTACCTGTAGCATAATATTCCCATATGATGGCTCCACTGAAGATGCAAGCATAACTGAGGAAATCGAAGGCAGGTATCCTCAGTTAACGGTTGGTTGTCTGATCAGTGTAAATTACATGGCTGTAAATAGAAGTGGAGCTTTGTAGCTAGAATGCTCTTGTCTGTCTCTGCAGAAGTTGTGCTAGGAGGAGAAGGAAAGAGACATTTTCCACTGATCAGCTCTGCATGAGAATTGTCTGCCTCTTGCAGCAGTTGTCCACATTTTCACTTGTCTTGTCAACCAGTCTTGTTCTTACATTCACATCTTATGCTTTCCACAGGGGTGCCTCAAAAGTTCTTTAATTGTGTGCTCATTAGTACAGACATATGCTGTATCTCAGACTATCCTTTCTATCACAAATGGGCAGTTAAATATCTTGAACTCCAGGAATCCTAAGAGGCAGGAGATTGCTGTGACCTGAGTATCCTGGGTAGAGCTTTCAGGCTGACTAAAAATTACCTTCTGCCACTACACTATTATTTCTCTTTAATTTTTACTGTGGACACCTGAAGATACTATTATCTTCCTGCCTGATAATAAGAGTGTACTTTGTCTTTGTCCTGTGGGGCTTTTTTTTTTTCTTTTTTTTTTTTTTTCTTTTTTTTTTTTGGTCTAATCTGGGATGTGTAGTAAGTTTTAAAATAGAAAAAAAAAAAAAAAGAGAAATCACAATAAACAAATGAAAATCTTTTAAAAACAGGAAATGCAGAAATAAGTTTTCAGGATAAAGTCCATCAAGCAACAGCTTCAGGGTGGTGGATTTTGTACTCAGAAGGTTCCACTGATCAAAGCTCATATACTACTGATGCAATAACTCTATAAGATATCAGAGAACTGAATGCTCACTTTTTGGAAGCTGCAAACTGGCTCATATTGATAATCAGAAACTAGAATCAATGCTCAGTTTTGAAAACTTAGATTTGTAGTTGTAAAATAAATCTTCTTACTTTTAGAGCAGTATTTTATGTGCACGGTAAGGATGGAGTACTAATTTAAAACTGTGTAAGAATGACATATTTTGATAACAGGAACTATTTTGAAAGCTGGGTCAGCCCAAACGTTTAGAAAGATTATCAAGCAAAAACTTTAAAGCAAAAAAACTTATTAAATGAATGCAAAATTATATTTTGATTGCAGTCTGGATTGACATTCAGTTAAGGTTAGACTTATGAACATTTATGTATAGTACTTCAGTACCTTGACAGAAACTCAGGTTAAGATGTGAAGCAGATTTGCCAGAATAGTGCTTAACGCTCTGTGAAGAAGTGCATTCTGCTAGAGTTAAGAATTGGACTGGAAATTACTGGATTTCTCTGGAAGGAGGCAGCAGACAAAAAGCTGTTTTCCCCAGGGTACTGGGGAGCTAGGGCACTGAGGCTCATGAGGAGCACTGCTGACTCAGGCTCTGCGGGAAGGCACTGAGGAAATCACTGCCCTTCACATTGCTGCTGACCATCACATGGGTTTTCCTGACTGGAAAAGAGATGGGGGGGCTGAGGTTGTTGGGGAGGAAGCAGAACCCAGGACCATTGACCTCGATCTAAACACAATGCAGAGAAAGACAATAAACTCCAGGAGGAAAAACACAGAAGTGATTTACCTAGGAGGAAGTGAGAATATTAAATTCTTTCAAGTAACTTCAGGAGGTGTAGTAGAGGAAATCTATTGAGAACACACAGGGAAAGCAGCTGTCTGTAGCCAGCGAGCCATGTGACATGCTGAAGTGGTTGTCTGCTACACAACTCGTACTTTACAAATGACTGAATCTGTTAATGCTGTGGGATTATTGAATTGGTGCATTCACATTGCTTTTCTGTGTCTGGAAAAGTAGAAATGTTAGAAACTGTCATAAATTCATCCTCATTTATCTCCTTATCTCAGTGTGCATTCCACATAGCAAAATTGTAAACCCATTTCTCCAGTGTTGACAAAGATGTGGGTCATAGTGACATGTGATGAGTATCATCTCCTCAGAGCTCTGCGTTGTCTATTTCAGCTGCTACTACCTTTCTCTCTTCCATCCAAAAATATGTTGTGTTTAATGCAGACTAGAACTGTAATGATGAGAGTTGCCAAAGAATTTGCTGTTTTCCTTTTCTGGACAGTTTTCATAAGTTTGTCACCATGGCTGTAGGCATTTGCAAGACTTCTGTTTTTGCTGCTTTTCCTTACCAGGGTATGAGAAGATAGTTGTGTGATAAATAAATGAGAAATTGGCTGGAAAGTCAGTTTGAACCACTGAACAAGTTATAAATAGAAACTTAAAGTATCTCTCCCTCTAAATAGAAATTCCTTGATTTTATTCATTACAGTATTATGTTACATCGACTCTGGTTTCCATATAACAGAAGTGTACATCATATCCTTGACACATCCTTAAGTTCTTACACATAGAGATCAATTAACATATGTCAAGAGTAATTCTTATATTGTAACCGTGCCTGGCTGACTGACAGCACTTTTGCATACTGAGGAGACAGAACACCAGATTTTAGGTATCTTGAAGGAAGAATGTCCCATCCGCTGCTGCTAATCAAATAATGAGAAGTACTCTCTCTCCAATCTCTTAAATTTGGTAATTTTATAGGTTGTACCCCAGACTAAAACTTAACACATTTTGAACTTGAAAAAACACATGACATTCTCTCTCTTATAAAGTACATTTGCGGGAAAGGCCGCTAGAAAACCATGAATTTACATCTTTGGAGTGTTTCCTTATGTAAGAAAGTGACAAAAAGGCAGGTAAACTCTTCCCATTCTCTTACCCCCAGTCAAATTAACACAAAGTAGGTGCAATTCTATAATTAAGTGAAAATAAACTTCTTTCTGTTCTTCGAACTGATGCCATATTGCCAGGTAATTGCAGTCTCTTTTGTATTTATGCCTAGGACATTGTGCTCACATTCAGTGCTATGTAAGAAAATCCAGCAAAATTTCATTTTGCAATGTTGAAAGCAGTTGTTGTTTCAAGGAAAATAATAACTTTTATCAAGTTGACAGTTGTGACTAAGTATGCCCAAGCAGAAGACGTATTGAGTAAGATGGCACAATTGAAAGCATCTTTATTTTCTGCCTATTGCCCAGAGCACCAGAGAAACTGTTCCTCAGTAGCTATCACAGAGCATATGGCTGAAGAAGGTACATTCCAGTTTCTTGCTCTCAATATGTTTAATCGCCCCATGTTTGGGTACAACTTTTTTTTTATTGCCTGTACTAATACTGTAAGTGACTGAATATATGGAGATATATCTGACCATAACAATATTTCCTTGGCATTAGTGGTTTCAAGCAATGATATCAGAAAATAAGGATCTGAGAAAATCTTTGAAAAAGAATCTTTCTAGCTTTGATGCTGTTGAACCAACCAGCAATGAGAGTGGTTACATATTTTGTTGAATGCTTGCTCATTCTGCATCATTAAAGATATGTTCAGGGCACCCAATTTTTATTATTGTAACTAAAAGAATTCCTGAGTGTAGGAGTAATTCTGGGAAAGCAGCAATCACTATCAGTAAAAGAGATTGATTTATGTTGACAATTGTCTCTCTTATATTTTGTTTCCAATCCTTTTAATTTGGGAAGATCTAGATATCAAATGCATAGGAATTTTGTGACAAGGATTTTAGATTCAGTCTTAGATTTTAGATTAATGCTTTCCAGTTTTGTTTCATCCTTCTTAAAACCACTGGCACTGTTGAATAGACAGCGTGTAGAGCACATGCAGCTTTACTTTTGATTTGTGTAACTTTCTTCCTTTGGATAATCTAAAATTAAGTAGTCTGGTCTCAACTGCAGATTTTCAAACTGTAAATCAATCCTACCTACACATGCGTAATAAACGGCCTGCTGCCATGGAGTGGCATGGTGACACTGGCACTTGCTGCAGGATGTTTGGTCTGTTAGCAGACTGGAGAAAGGTGGGAAGTACATGTGGACTTATTGGAATGTATCTGAAGAGTAATGGCTTATAAAGACTTGCCATAAATAATAATTGCCCAAGGTGATATTCATTTTAATGAATGCTTTACTGGTTTCTTTTCCCTAGTAGGAGACTCTCAGACTTCTTAATATAGGCACAGAACGAGCTCTTTGTGCTACGGCTGTCTACCTTCAGCACTTTGTTTTCTTCTCGGCTATCCCCTGTTGCTGGCTTCCAGTTCCTCACTGCCTCCAGCTGTGAGGGCAAAGTTTACAGTGTCTTCAAAACCTGTTGTTTGTTTTCGTTGGTTGGGTCAAGGCTTTGTAAGGCACAAGATGAACTGTGTCTGTTCCTTGCCTACTGGATGGCCCCAGGCAGCAGGGAGAATGTTCCTGCAGCTTAGCCCTGCCACAAGCAAGGACTGAGAGTGGAAGACTCAAGGTTGTGTCTGCAGTAAGGCAGTGCTACAAGTTATCTTGGTAGCACAATGAAGATTAGCTGGATAATTTTTAAAACTGTCGTCAAAGACATACTTCAGACAATTTTGCAGGAAAGCAATGTATCCACAAGGCATACATTATCAGGCTCTCTCTTTGGCTCATCTTTGTCTACAGATTATTTGCTAGATTCAGGTTCCCTTTTTCTTTTTTTTCTTCCTTCTAAATTTTCTGATGGTACCTTGCCTAATGGAAAGCAACTTCATGTTCTGCACTACAGTTCTAACATAATGTCTTCCACAATGTCACAAAACCAGAATAGTGATTCTCCATCAAAGCGCTTTGTGTTCAAGTTCCATGCTACTGAGAGATTATGCCTAACCACCTTAAAATGGTTGAGAGCAGTATTTTTAACTGAGTTAGAATATTTCCTAAAGAAACCTAGAATCTGGGATGGAGTCCAGATGTACGTTTGAGATGACTAAAATGGAAAGTCCTGGCTGTTTTATTAGGCATGCCATTCAGAGTGCAAAACGAAGTGTGAGCAAAGAAAGCATGTTGGCATGGCAACCGCAAGTATAATTCTCAGATTCTGATCTGAGAAGGGAGCCATTTGTCCTAAGAGTCAGCTTGTAGCCCATAAAAGTTTTAAAACAGAGCAACTCACCTTCACCAAAGGCCAGCAACTGGAGAGATGGATAACTCTGAACTCTTTGGCCAACAAAAGAATCTAATTATTCAAGTGGTTGTTGTTCTGGCATAGATGTGTAAAAAGTAATTGCTTTAATTGCAAGCAATCTCTTATGCACAGATGCTCTCGGTTATTTTCAATAAGATATGTGATGTTTGTAAAAAAAAAGAAAGAAAAAAAAACCTTTGCAGAAAATGCACTAGGTGTTAATGATCAAGTAACTAAAATCCCAAATCTGTGATTAATCTGCTGGATCATACTGGAGCTCAGAAATGTATCTGTATGTGTCCACTACTCCTTACAGCTACTTAATTGAAAAGACTAAGAGAAGAAATGAGCATGGGAAAGAAAGCTGTTTTCTAGATTGGTTTACTGAGACTGGAACTGATGGCCGATAGCTTAAACTGCACATGTGACACCAGGTATTTGGATTTGAATTACGTGTTCATTTTCCTTTCAAGATTAGCTGTTTTGGATTTCTGAAAGAGGGGCTGGCTGCACAAACCTCAAAAACATTTGACTTTCATTCCATCTGCCACAACCTCATCTGTCTCCATGGGAAGAAGAAAATTTACAGGAGTTAATGGAGTAATCAACCATCTTTCTTTCTTTCTTTCTTTCTTTCTTTCTTTCTTTCTTTCTTTCTTTCTTTTTTTTTTTTTTTTTTTTTTTTTTTTTTTTTTTTTTTTTTTTTTAACTCATGCAAAAAAATAAGAAGAACCAGAAATATTGAGAATAATTTTGATCTTGCCAGAAAGGCAATTCATGTTCTGGGCTAAAGTTACTTAAATTTGGCTAAGGGTAAGGAACAGTGATCCAGAGGGAATGAAAAGTGACTGAGGGATTCACAATGAAGAGAACTTGGGGCATTCCACTGGAAGGCAGACAAAGCTCAGGCATCTGTATGTGCTCAAAGCCTGAGTATCCTTGTATTGTTTTTACCTCATTGTTTGCAGGTGTCTTCACATAACAGCAGGCAAAGAGATTTGTGCTAACAACCCACGTATTCACTGAAGGCAATAAAATCTTCCATTGTGTAGATAGATGCCTGTGAAGTAGAACTTTCTCAGTTTTCTGACACACCATACCATGCTTTCACTCTGGACAAATTTTAACAGCCTAAGGTATAGCAGCCTTTATCACTGCACTGTGATTTGCTATTTAAAACTGGTATGACCCAGTTGCATTGCTCTTTTTATAGTTGGAAAAAAAAAATCATTAAAAAACACGCAAGACTTGAGCTTCATGCAGTTCTACATTATATTTGGAATGTGCATTCTGAGAAATACTGGCCTATATTAATAATCTGCCTAATATTTTCTTTCATTTATTCTTTAATATTTTCTTTCATTTAGAAAGAAAGGTATTTACAATGCTTTCACTGTGGTAAAAGCCTTCAATAAATTTGCACTTAAAATGTATGTTATTTGGTTGACACTCCATTGACATTAAGAAGCACTGGAAGAAGGTGATAAGCACTGTATTTCCATGTCGTTTGATGACGTATGGGTCCAGAACATGTTGAGACCTGAAATGATTTGTGGTGTTCTTTTATATGGTCCTTCCTTTTCTACTGTTGGTAAACCTGTTGGAATGTTCATCAATAATGATGGAATTTTGCTGTTCAATAACGTTGCCTGGAGCCTGTCTTACTGCCTGCTGAAATCAATGGAAACAAATGCATCAATCTCATGGAAATTTCTTTGCAGTTCTGATATTATTCTCACCACTGTGTTCTTTCTTGTTAGGTTATTTGCAATATAGCAGGAACTAGTGATATCTGTGCTGTGATAAACTCCTCTAAGCACATGCACTGTTAAGTGTTGCCCACTTAGATACAACTTTGAGCTTCATTACAGTAAATGGAGCATAGGAGTGCAGTGACTTAACAATGTATGATGAAAATACTAAAAAGATAGTATTCTTTTATTTCTACTTAGAGTATGCCATATAGTGTCTCCTTTGGAGGAACAGTTTAGTAATTGTCATCTTGCCACCATTTCCTCAAAGTGACTAGATTACCAACAGGTTATGGGGTATACTGAGCCAGTGAATTTAAACCTTGTTATCATTTATAGTTTTCCTCTCTGTCCCTATAATATACCTTCCCATTAGTTAAAAGTGCCATTCCAGGAAATTGCCTGCAAGTGTATGTTTTGATGTGAGAAGGAAAGAAAGCTGTTGCCATATTCCATTCTAATAGTAGCAGGTGCTTAATAAGAAAGTAGATATGTCCTTCGTTATCTGTCAATTCTTTCCCATTTATCTTTCAGTGGTATAGCAACTTCAGAAAGTTCATGCAGACCACTGCATCTCATCATTTTACAGGAAGTCTGTAATGAGGTAATAGAGAGAGAGAGAAGGAATGGCAATAAATTTCCTGGTTACAACTTCCTAGTGGTGCTAGTTGCTGAATTTTATTAGACAGATGCTGGAATATTAGCCATATTAATTAATCATGGCTAAGTGGAAAGACATTTGCCTGTTATCCTCAGGACTAGTAGTTGTGCTAAGTTTTTTTATTTTTTGTCATTTCTTTTCCTGAAAGTATAACTTCTGTTCTGGAATAGAAGAATTAACAGTCCCCCCAAGGTCATGTATACTTTGAACATCCCTAAAATACCTCAGTAGTTTTGATTCAAGGTTTGAGAGCTTTACTTGCTTCTGTTCCACGTTTATTGAATTTGGATAATCATATACGTCTAGTAAAACAATAGCACAAGTAGACAGGTTTGATCTCAGCCTTCAGTATATTTTCTCTTACTCTGTATTTTTCTGCTTTTTCCGCCTTTTTCTGCTTCTGTGAATTCAGGAAGAAAAATGTTTCTAGGTAAATATTTTCAGGTAGAAAAATATTTCTACATAAAGTACTTTTAATCCAGAATGAATGAGATTCTTGGGGGAAAGAAATTTGGCAGTTCTGGATAAATTAGGAAGAGCATAACGCCATTGATGAATAATTCCTTGCAGACAAAGCATAGAATATCATCAGAAGTGGGATTGTTTTACAGTAGGACGAGAGGAGGCCAAAGGATGATCATCACCACTTCTATGAAGAGAGGCTGAGGGAGCTGGGCTTGTTAAGCTTACGGAAGAGAAAGTTCTGTAAGGTCTTCAGAAGGAGTGAAGTGACCTTCCAGAAACTAAATGCAGCTCTTAAACAAGATGGAAACCAACACATTATGTGATCTGATAGTTAAAGGGCAAGGGGAAAAATTTTCAAACTGAAAGAGGGGTGATTTAATTAGATAATAGGAGAAAATTCTTCAGAGTGAGGGTGGTGAACAAGAGGAACATGCTGCCCAGAAAAGCTGTGGATTCCCCATTCCTGAAGTGTTCATGGCTGAGTCAGGTGGGGCCCTGGGCAACCTAACCTGGTGAATGGCAATCCTGCTCATAGCAGAGGACTTGAACTTGATCATGGGTGTCAAACTTTTTTTGGCTTGCCTGAGCCTCACTGCATGAACAGGGTTTGCCTTGATTAATTCTTGTTATTCTTTATTGAGTCTTGCTAATTGAAAAAGTGATCTACAAATTCATCTTTATTCTCATGTGACTTTTTATGAACAGTTCACTTTTTCTCTTGTTTCCCCTATTAAAAGCAGAGAAAGCCCACACCTGGGCAAAGGGTTACTCCAGCGATTGTTAGGATTCTGGAGAGTTGACCAGGATTAGCTATCCTGGTTTAAGGTGTCTTTGTTTTTTGCATAGTCTAACAATTCAACATCTTTATTTTCAAGGGTAATTCTGTTGGATTCTGATCTCTGAGTGCCTCCTACTCTTCCACTTGACTTCACTTCAGATGAAAAATAGATCACATATCTTAGTAAAAAGTCTGGTCAGAGATGTTGTGCTGCTTCACTTTTAACTGGATTTTAATTTGACAAATGTATATTTAGATAGCCTATATCATCTGACTCATGCACAAAACATATATTCCTCTGTAGAGAACATGTGTTTGCTGCACCCTTCCCATCCCATTTATGCACTTCTACAGATACTGCTGGCTATTCAAAGGATATCTATATGAAAATGATGACAACAGATTTTTTTTTTTATAACCAGAACATGGCATGACTGGAGCAAATCAAGAATGCTTCAAAGCCTGTGTGCCAGACCTCCTTGACAAGAGCAGGTGGTTGAAGAGTCAACAATATGACATAAGTGCTTTGAGTGTGATCTGAATGAGCACAATTGATTCACTACCTCATGATATCCATACACTTTATGGGGGCCTTTATTTCAATGAATGACACATTGAGACATAAATCAGCAGCACAGAGAGATGTTTCTACTAGTGCTGATCAATGAGATACACCATTTATGCATGATAAGCAGTTCTGTACTCACTCAAGACTTGTTACAGATGCTGTAACAGATGCTGTTGTTAAAGATGTTACCTTCTTCAATGGTGATATTTAGGAATATGTTTTGATGTAAGGGATTCAAAAGTACTTTTTTTTTTTTTTTTTTTTGCATAAAATTAATTTGTACCTTGAGAATCCTGATTTTCAGTTGCATACTGTATGATAAAATCACCAAAATGTCTCAGAAAAATTGTGACATGAATAGTATATTCATAGGCAGCTAGAACACAGCATGCAGAGGGGGAATAGCTAATAATTTGACAGGAGGAAATTATGACAAAGTGAACTAACTTCCTGCTATAACAAGGTAACAAGTTCACAAATACGGGGGACACACTGCTCCAGTATTACTTATGACTTGGCACTCTCTTGAATGATATTCTCATAGGAAAGCTAAAGAAACAATCTTGTTCAATCTTCAGAGTAAATGTGAAGCTGAATGAAAAGTGAATCTCGGAGAATATTTGCCTAACTTATTGTTTAATTGAATGTATTGCAAATTTTCTATTGGGAGTTGATCTTGATTAAATGCTTTTAAATATTCTCATGGATTATCTGGATGAGAGAATAATATGATATGCAATAAATTTGCATATGACAGGAGATGGGGGATTCTGAACATGTGGGAAGCAGAATTAGAATCCCAAATGGTCTTGACAAATCGTAGAGATCTCTGAAAAAAAAACAACAACAACAGGATTAATTCCAGTAAGGACAAATGCAAAGTGGTAGGCAGAAATAATTGATTGCACAAATACAGGATAGGGTAACACATGGATGTCCAACTTTCTGGCTTGCCTAGGCCCCACTGTGTGAACAGGATTTGCCTTGAGCTGCTTATATATAGGGCACTCCTAAAATAATGCCTCCTAATTATTTCCATGGAAGCTATAACAGATACAGTGAGCACAGTTTCTCTGTTTGAGAGAGCAAATTCTTAGCTACAAAACACTTTTCAACATAGTCACCACCATTAGCTATGCATTTTTTCCAATTATAAACAAGAACCCATATGCCATCCATACTCATCAAAACCTGCACCACTGAAGGTGATCCACACTTACTTTCATCACTGCTGAAACGTGCCACCCATGGCCTCATGGTGCTCACATCCACTGTTTGGTGTCTATAAAAGTTCACCAAATGTCAATGAATGTCAGTGGGTGCAATATTTTCCACATGGAAGAATTCAATGTCATACCTTTTCTTCCATGGCTTCCATGTCAGATGCCATTTTGTCAGACTGCTTCTCTGCTGCCATTTATCACATGGCAACAAAATATAATGGGATATTGTCAGGATGGTTCAGCCTCTACTGTATGACCAACATCCACATCTGATATCACGGGCCAACATAATGAAATAGGAGACATTACTTTTGGAGCAGTCCTCAAAAAATATACAGTATAGCTGATGTATATAAGTAATGAAACTTATTTTAACTGGTAATAGTTTTACAAAAGCATTTAAACGAAAAGAGAGCAACAAAACCCATAAAACTAGAGGGATATTTGACCTTGTTTTTGTGAAACTGGTTCAGTCAGGTACAATGGCAGTGGCTGCAATTCTTTGCGAGCTCTCAAGGAGTTCATCAGAGATTTTTTGATGAAATTTTACTCTTTGCTTCATCCTTCAAAATAGTTGTTCACAAATGTACACAGTATGAGAAAGCAAGGACATGAATAAGGCATGACTGTGAAGTGAGGGATGTTTTTCTCTGGTAAGAGAGGTTGATGAAAATCTGGTAAAGAGACGTGATCAAATTTGCTTTGAATTGATGATTGCAATGTAATGCATTCCATTTGAAAATCCGCAGGATATTTATGTCAACTGAAAAGAAAACCACAAATATATAAAAAAAAAATTATTATTTTTTCCAGTAATCTTGAAACATAACCTCAAATTCCTTTGTAAGAATGGAAATCCTGGCTGCATGTTTTTTGCTGTTCACAGGGCTGTGTTTAGCCAATGCGTACAATGCATACAATCATTTGCCATAACTTGAGTTAGCACTGCACTGAGCCCTTCCTGTGTTCTTTTTTCAGTCCAGACAGCTTTAATAGCACACTGACTTACTGAATGATGAGTGTATGCCCAGGGCCAGGCTGGGCTGTTCAATGGGAAAGAGCCTTTCCCACCCTTTCCCAGTGTGGAATAGGGGACAGTTGCAGTGCGAGCTCTGCCAGGCTGCAGGTTGGACATGCCTGGGGTAACACCATAGAGGGCAGTTCTCATTGGAAAAGATCTGGAAATTAAATTAAATCAAATTAAACACAAGTTGATGAATTATTAAAAAGCTAAGTGTCCAACTAGTATGAACACAAAAGCCAGAATGCAGCCTGCAGAATTAATCTTCTGGTTCTTTTGTTGAGTAAGGACTCAGCTTGGATCAGGTGGTCAAGCACTTTGGCTGTATCACTGTGGTAAGGAGAACTTGTCAAAATTTGAGTTATTATGCTCTCAAAAAAAGACGGAAGGGTAAGGGCAATAGTTAAGATGTAAAAAACAAAACCCACCCTGTTGTAAAGAGCGAGTAATATATCCTCTGTGGCCATGGCAGACATGTTAAGAAACAATAAGTTGAGTTACCCTAGAGAGTCAGAATAGTTATTAGGAAAACCTTTCTAAACATAAACATAGTGAAACCTGGGGATACAGTGAAGTCACTATCATTAAGAATGTACATCTGTCATAAGGGACACAAATATTGATTCTGCCTGAGGACAAACCAGAAGACCTTTTCATGTCTCTTGCGGATCTACTCTACATAATTTTATATCAAGACAGGAATAGGTTTTGCAATCTTTTCTTATCTTGAATAGCGCCTAATTCCATGAGGAGGGTTATTGCGTTACAGGAAAAATTCTTAATCAGCAAGAGCAATGCTAACCTGCATTAAGGACTACATTAGGGGAAGTTGTTTGACGTTCTTACTGTGTTAATTCTTTTGCTGAATTTAAATCAACTTGTACCTGGAAGTATTTTAACATCAGTATTTCAGGTTAGTACAAGTATAGTAAAAGAAATTAAAACTTCTGAAATGAGTTGAATGTGAATATTCGGTAAAATCAAATCTTGCTCAGTGGCCTATGGAAAATTTTGGAAAAAAAAAGGACCGACTCTTGCCATATTAATACATACTCCTGCTGTGTCTGGCTGCATCAGCCTCAGAAGCAGGTGGCTATAAGAGACACTTGCAGAGCACTGCATACTTTGGCATTGTGCACTGTGCCCATGACCTGAAGCTCAGTATCCTTCCCAGCATAATGGTAGAAATTAGTTGCACAAAGTGAACACTTGCTTTTTACCATCTGGGCTATGTCATACGTTATTCTCTCAGGACATCTTTTGTGCAATGTAAATGGAGAGACCAAGAGGCCAAGGAGCAAATTGTACAAATTCTATTCCTGTGCCTACCCAGAAATCTCTCTTTTGGAAGGGACTTGATGTTCTGAAGTGTTACATGTGAACTGCTCTCATTTTCTCATCTGTTTAGGCCAGGAATGAAATGCTTCAAGGAAGCAGTGGTACAGAAATATTTGCCCTATACAGAAATATAAGTAGTTCTGAATATGTAGCATTTAGGGGAACGCTTCAGACCTCTCTGCTCCTTTATATCTGTGGTAAGTCTTTTGTATGCTGCTTCCTTCCAGTTTTAAGCACCACATGGTACCAAATTACTGTAGCAGAGATTGGGAAACCTCTGTTTAGCAGGTCTGGTTTATGGTTATGCTAAAAATAGAGGTGAAATGTGTAACTCATTTCAAGAGCAATTTCTTCACTGAGATCACAGGATCATTTGAAGCTGTCCAAACACTTAGGGTGAGTGTCCAGATAGTCTGGATTTTTTTTCAAGAATTTTGGAAGTGGGACAGCTTACTCACTGTAGATGATTCATATCTTTATGTTCTAGTTTGAAGTGTTTCATCACAGCGCGATCACAACTCCAACGATGCCAGGTGATCATCAGACAGTACTTATACTTAGAGGATGATTTGATCTTTTCCAGCTTTCCAGAATTTTTATAACTTATTGGCATCCCCCCCACGCACAAACAATTTAGATTCAAGAAAAAGCAAAAGCAAACTCTTTACAAAGAAATTAATATATTGAGTTCCTCAATAGACAAAGCTCTTGAAGCCAAAGCTCTGAAGACTAAAGCATAGAGAACCTATCCTTCTCATGGTCTCTTAAAGCACTTTTCCATATTCTTTTTTAAAGGTTTTATCTTTTGCAGTTTTAAATCTTTTTGTCTAGACAGCAGTAAGTAACTGGCATACCTTTCGGTCAAGAATGGTGTGGTTAAATCTTTCAGATAAATATAGCTGGATATTTAAATACAAAAATAAATGTCTAAAGCTCTACTTATTAGTAGCATCTGTCTCGTGCTTGATGTGTACTTCTCAGAAATATTCTAATACCTACAGAGGCTATATTTAAGCAACCTTGCCTCTGCTTTGGTGATCACATGTCACGCCATGCCTATATTGTTGATTTTGTTGCTAAGCCCCACTGTGAGTTCTGGTTTCCAGTGTTTCAGGTTACATGTTTAAATCTGGCCTTCCAACTGTTTCACACTATCCTGCATGTCCTCGTCTACCGAAGCTGATACTCTGGAGGCCCTCTCTTTCCACACTGGTCCACACTGGCATGAAAAATTGAGTGGAAGGAGGAGTTAGGATTACAGATTTTTTGTTTATGATAGTTATTGACTTTCCACTTCAGAAATATCACTAAGAGGAAGCCTTAGGAATCATATATTGGAAGTATGTGGTCAGCAGATAGGCCTCTGCCGCCTTCCCCCATTTCTGGAGAATTTCATGGGCTTCCAAGGGAAAAATAAAAAGGAAAAAAACCCTGAAAAGTGTGAACCTGAGAGAATCAAAGCTGAGAAACTGAAGAAGACTAGGTGGAAAAACTCTATAATTATTTTCTATAAGCTGTCTATTTGATGCTTTTCTTTAGGACAGATAAAGAAAAAATCGATCTTATTCACTCATCTTTGGAGGATTACATTTAGGTCCATTTGCATTGTTGGAAGAGAGCTCTGTACACCTGTGAGGTTTCAAGTAACTTACAATATAAAGCGGTCAGTGACTTACGTGAGACTTGGGCTAACCCAGTTAAATTCTGTGCATGATGACACATCAGTCAGCATGTGGGGGCTTAATTTGTGCAAGTAGAAACCCCTTGTGTGCTGTGTTGTGGAAATTACTGTTCTGTGCCAAGAAATTTTATGTTACTCCATCAGGCACAACTCCATTTCTCTGACTCTCTCTGAATGTTTTCTGCATGTGCTATGGGTAGTTAGTGTTTCATCAGTGAAATAACTCTAGGCTCTATCTAAGTGTCTTGATGCATTGTACATTTTTTGGGCAACATGTAATTACTGCTTTGATTAGAGCAGCCACTGTTGTTTGTTTTTATATTTAGAGCAAAGAAACACAAACATCCTTACCATCAAGAAGGCTAGGCAGGGCAGTACTGAATGTAGGTTGTTTTTAATCTCTGTACTGCCTGTATGCTTATGTTCACGTGTGCCTATTTTGCCCTCTGGTTCAGAAAAAGTTGCTGTTTTTTAGGATGGAATAGCTTTTGGGGATAAGGAGAGAAAGAATCCAAGCTGAACAACTCCATATGCTAAGGTTTATTTCCCCTTAGAAAAGTGATTTTGATTTTCATAGTCCCACAGGTTCAGTGATCTACACACCAAATGGAGCCGGTTGGTTTTGATTTACAGATTCTACATTGTTTAGGAGATTATAGTCTAATTCTGCTGCTGCTGTGGCTAGTCAGGGCATGAACTGCAGTCATAATGATAGGCACTTTGTTCCTGGATTTTAGCATGCCAGGCAAGGAAGTCACTTCAAAGTAAAGCTGAAACACGTGAAAGATGGGATTGCGGGGGAGAGCTATAGGAGGTGGAAATTAGATTGGTTTATTAAAGAGTATTGCACTCTGATGAATCAATGAATTTAGGCAAAAATTAAAAGGATGGGATAAGGTGAAAGTGATACAAATTGCTCTTGTTACTACAGTTGATATGAAAAAGCAAATATAAGAAAAAGATAACTGGAAATTTGATGCGTTTTTATGGGGAAATATTTTATTGCCAGTGGTTACTTCTTATTTGTATTAGTACTGCGTTCACTGTCTGATTTGAGGTGAGAGGACAGGGAGGAGTCCCCCTTCACTTCTCACTGTGCATGTGTCTAATAAAAGATTCTCTGTCTTCAGTGGATCACAGCTTCCACAGAAGTGGGATAAAGAGACTTCCCACTTACAGAGAGAATTGACAGCAGGAGCTTGACTACTAGACTTTGAAAATGCCATTGAAATTGCTTGATAAAATGTAGTTTATGAATGTGTAAAGCTGCTTGAGGCATTGTGTTTTCATTGAGATTTTTCTGGTTTCTCTTTTTTCTTTTTTCTTCCCCACCCACCTTCCCCTTTCTTCCTCAAGGCTGGCCTGAGATCTTAAGAGTCACTGTAGTTTAGACCTTTTTATTTTATTAAAATGTGTTTCTTTCTGATTTGATACCTTCAATCACGTCATGTACCACTGCAACACACATGAAGTACAAGAAGCAATCCCTTGGTTAGTACTCTGGTTATTTTTTTTGAAACAAATAATTTATTTGCTACATTTTGCCTCTTTCCAGCCAAACACAGTCCTCTTCCCTTTGATATTTGAAATTATTTCCTCAATCATTTCTGGGACTAATTTTTGGGTTGCTGCTTGCTCAAGAGTAGTTTATTGTGTGGTCTACTGACAAAATTTGAGCCGATTAGGCTTGCTAGTTCTTGCTTCTATCTAAAATAGAGAAGCGTCATTGTGACGGCTCTGTTTCTGACATAATATTTACAATTCTGAACTTAAGAGTTGTTTTCTGTGCATTTTCTTCAATAGTCAATTAAGGTTCTTTGTTCTGGTTTCAGTCAGTAGAGTTGCTCATTAAAGTATTTTTATGCAACTGCCTTTTGGTTGAGACATCTATGGAAAAGAGACAGTGAAAAAGTGGTAACTAAAGGAAAGGTTAACAACTTAAACTAGACACTAAACTTTAAAAGATTTCAATTTGTGAACCATAAAAGCTGCCTTAAATGTAAAATAATTTAAATCTTGATTCACTCATTCATCTTCCCCCTGCAAACAATTCAGGCTGGGGACTACACAGGGATTTTAGTGTAGTTATGTGTTTCTGCCCTGATGGATCAGCCCAAGGTTATTTTTTCTCACCTGGATATCTACATCCTATAATAGACTGAGCCCAAGTTTGTTTTAAAACTGGAATATTAATGCGTATTGAGAAAGCCAGATTTCTTAGAGGAAGTTTGATTTAATCTGGAAGCCCAAACACTTCTAAATGATGTGGCTGCACACGTGTGCATTCTTTGCCTGCTGATAGTGAGGCACAAGCCATGAAGAAAAGGTTGTTATGACATTGGCATGGCAGAGCCCACTCTCTCCTCTCCTTCTCTCCTCTACCCTGCAGTTTTGGATTCAGGGGTCAGAGAGGTTCAGTGTGGATATTGAATTACAACATTGTTACTATTTTGAAAAGGAAAATGCTTGAATGAAACATTTTTTTCTCCCCTTTTTGAACAGTGGGTATCCCCAGAAGTGAAGTGAACAGATGCAACTGTGGTACCTTTGCCATTGTAGAAGTGTGTGAAAGGCTTTTTAATCTTTTGCCTGTTATATGTGATACAATAACATTAAAATTCATTGAGCAGCCATTTGGGATTTTATATATCAGAATCTCTGAGTATTTTGAAATTTAATCCTTGTGAAATATTTGACATCCTGAATGGGATAATTGACACAGGGATGCTAATTAGGGGGTTGTAATTCAGAAGGTTGTGATCGTATACTTTATATTGGCGTGTATATTGTCTCCTTGTTGCCTAGACATGTGCCTCGAGAGAAGAGAGCAATACCCTTGGGAGTTCTGAAAATCAATCTCCTATGTCATACCATTTTTATAATGTTCTAGAAGTACTGGATTTGTACATTTTTCCATTTATTAAGGTAATTGTGCATAAAATATCCAGGCTTTGGAATAGTTCGACTCAGTTCATATTTTCATTTTTAAAACCCTGCAACAAATAGTATCTTTCCCCAAAACTGCGCTTTTCACCTGAAGTGCTTTGCAGTTCTCAGTATTCCTTAAAATCTTAAATTCAATTATTTTTAGCTGAACAGAGTCTTGTTTACCTTCTGCAGGGATTATTCTAGCAACTCCTGAAATGCAAAACCTTCTGTGGCAAGAGAGAAGAGGCAGTCTTCTGTCTACTGCTCTGACCTGACGGACATGCTCTCTCCAAGTATGACTTCATTCAGGTAGTAAGACCAAGAACTGCATTAAAAAACAGGAAGATTGGCCCTAGGCAGACAGGTGAGCTCATTTTTTTCTTTCTTTTTCTGCTGGCTTTGTGATCACACTACATGTGTAATCAGACTGTCTGCCTCCCTCCTTCAAACAGATTATTCCTTTAATGGAATTTCAATAAATGCGGCAGCTCTTAGACTTGATTTCTTCATATTTATCTGGCTTTTCAAATTTCTGCATGATAATAAGGCTTGTTAGGAACTAAAGCATTCATTTGCTGTACTGTAAATGAATACTGGGAATTTTTAGTTAATAGTGCTGTTGCATTGCCTCGCAGTTGCTGACAACATAGTGCTCAAGGTGCAGTCTTATGGAAGTACAGCTTCCACTGTGGAAGACAGTAAAGTGAAGAATGGGCTAAGATCCAATTAAAATTGCTGGAGTCTAACAAAATGTAATTACCAAATTTAAAACCACCCCGGGGGTATTGATCTAATTCCTGAAATACGCATAGAAGGGTTCTTAATTTTTGTGTGGAATTGAACATTTCTTAGGTCTCCATGTGTGCAGCTTATCCAGGAGCTGGCTCTTTTTGCAGTACAGTGTGTCCTGTGATACTCATGTTTGAATATTGCTTTAGCAGTGATTCAGAGTTCCAGCTATTGTTTTACAAACACCAGTTCCTGCCGGGCTAGGGGTTTCCCCTGTCATCCCTTTCCCAAATTATCAGCCAGACCCAGCCCTCTTCAGTTCATAAAATCCAACAGAAGGCCCCATACGCTAGGGTGGCTACAATATACTAATTATGCAATTCCAGATTTGTAGCTACACTGCAGGATAAATAATGGTTATTCATCTTCATATCTGAATCCAAGTGAGGCATCAATGAGGGGAACATTTGTTGCGACACAGATGGTGGCACTTTGTTAGAGGCTGTGCTTTGGTGCAAGTTCCTCCTTTCATAATCACTGTATCATGCAGTTCTGCAGAGCCCCTCCCCGAAAGAGTCACACTGTCATTTCTATATTTTACTTGAGAAAAAAAAATGCAGATGGACTTAAAATTGAAATGATGTACAAAAATCTGGGGAAGATTCTTTGCCGTTTAAACATGGACGGTATAGGTGGACAGAGACAATGTGTCTTGGGAACAAGACATCAAGTGGATTGCTCTACTGAAGCTACAAATTCAGACAGTACAGAGGACTAGAAAGGGCTGAGGATGTCAGTGTTGGAAGCCCGAAGGCAAAAATGAGTAAAAAGTAAAAATGGATTTGTGACATACAGTCTGTGCCAGTATTTTAACATCTCATGGCCACCACAGCCACCTAATGGGGCTGGAACCTGCTGTTATCTGATCTGACACTAAGAAGCCTTTCTCCAAATTGAATTTTGTCTTATGGCAGCTCTCATCTGTGCAACATATATACCACTGTGATAGGACTGCTAACGTTATACACTTACGATAAAGTTCATCTCATCAAGGCTGATGAGAATAACAATTGCATGTCTTCAGAAGCATTCTTGACTTAACAGCAATGCCACATCTCATATTGTTGCAACCTTCCTTGTATATGGATATATCCAAAAGACTTTTTAAATATTTTTTTTAAGACCTTCATTTACATCTCTTATGAAAGACAGAAGTTATTCATTTACTCTGTGTACATGCATTTCTCTGAGTTAACATTTACACATATTCCTGTTATCTCTATGTTTTTTTTCCTCATCTCCATGTAGTTATTTAATCATGTGCAAATATGGATTATAACTTCTTTTGAGAAGAAGGTACATGCCCTTTACCTGCCCTGAAAAGCACAGGGCACACTGAAGTGTCACAGAATAACAGTACTTATCTTAATATATCCATATAATTGCATCTGTTTCATATGCCCTTAACCTCACATCTAATCATCAGTTAAATTCAATTAATTTACTATTTTAGTTCTATCCTCAGACATGGGTTAAGAGGTAGAATATCCAGACTCTTAGTCTCTCTTGGTATTTTGCTTCATTTTTGATGCTTCAGCATAAGACATACAGATTTTCAATTCTGACAGTAAATCTTTATCAGCTTTTTTTATTTTTTTATTTTTTTTATTTTTTTATTTTTTTATTTTTTTATTTTTTTTTTGCTGCTTACTATGTATAGGCCCTTAATACAGCATAGAACAATGCTTTATTAAAACAAGCTGTTGTATTAAATGTGTGCTTACTCAGCTGGAAGCTGGTTGACCATTTTTGCTGCTGCTCTCAAGTTCCCAACTGCAGATGGAGTTGGGTTAATGTAACATAACTTTCCCAAGGGCCTACATTAGAATTTGACATGTTCTCTGCTACATATCCTCATCTTCCAAATTAACTTGAGGACAAATGGGAATTGTTTATTTGATACTTCTCTGAGACACAATGTTTTTGTTTCTCACAGAAGTCTCTGCCTTATATTTTGAATAAACCTGATTCCCTAAGAAGCTGATTAACACAGACAAAATAATGCTCTATGTGGAAAAAGGTTAAAGGCACACTTCGGTATGCAACATAATGGGGAACAAATCTTTTTTCAATTTTAGTATTTCAGCAGAAAAAAAAGAAGACTATGAGAGATAGTGTGTATGCTTCATCTTTGATTCAGTACCATCCCAGCCTTCTCTGGGCATTTGGCATTCAGTTATGGATACAGAATCACAGAAAGCCTGAACAACAATAGCAGCAGTGTGGAAATCAATCCATGTACCCATGTTACTGAGTGGTTCCAGAAGATGTGGGAAAGTCTACTGATGGAAAAGTTGATTCATACACTTCTCCCTACCCCAAAGATACAAGAAAGCATCTCCTGTACCCAAGCATATTTGGAATCTGATCACTCAGTATTCCATGTCCTAATGAACAATATTCTTGAGAATATTTTTGTCAGGAGAACAAAATGCAATATTCAAGACTAAAGCTCACAAAAATGCAAAGCTAATAACACTATGCAAGTCTTTAACAGAGGTGACTGACAATAGATATCCTTCCTCTCCATTTTCCCTGCAGACAGACAAACACACAAACTAGCACAGGGCTAGTCAGGGGTAAGAAATCATTTTGTGCTGCATATACAAATGTGACTCAGTACTGTGTGTTAGAAATAATGAACTGGCTTGCTGAGGATTGAAGTTCAACAGGGATCTTTAGTTGATTCTGTCAGAAGCTGTGCTGGTTCTTGGGCTTCATGTTCTTCATAGGTGAAGGGAGTAGGTGACAGTAGTAGTATCTTTCCCAACCCAAAATTGGGTTAAGGCAAAATAATTTAAGATAATTAAAAAGCAGAAACAGTAGAAAATGACTGCAGGTAGCATTGCATCCATGGAAATACTAGAACAAGTTTTCTCTTCCCTGCGCTTGAACATTGATCAATAAGCTGCTTTCATTAATCAATGATGGTGATGTTGATGAGGTGATGGTCACTTTTTTGACTTCTCTTCTTCAATCAGAAAAACTCAAAGCACTATTGAAAGTGGTGAAAGGTGTCAGTAACAGCAACATCAAGGGTGACAGAAACCAGCACCACTGTACAATTTTAGTAATGTGGGGAGCAGATGTAACTTGCAACTTCCTAGAAAAGATATTAGGCATAGTAGCAAGAATAATAATAAACCAGTGGAACACTTACTATTCACTGAGATAAAAACACAGATATGGGTGCCATGGTTTGGTCTGAATTACAGAAGGAAGTTGAAGAATGTGCCTTCAACTCCAGGATCTAACAGGCTGTGAAGGAACAAGATGTGAAAGATATGCACAAACAACACATGTGACAAATTCCTCTGAGAATGTTATTACTCTCTCTTTTCCATTTCATTTGGAATGAAAAGAGAATCAAACAGACTATTCCGTTGCGTTCACATTTGCTAACTGTTTACACTTTCTGGTTAATTGCTTTCTATAGTTTAATGGAAAGAAAACCTCAAATACCTTATCTTAAAAGCTTACATTTGCCCTGCAAAAGAACTCACAAAGTTCATGCTCAATTGTCCCTTTCAGTGCAAATAAGATCTTTCAGAGATTTGAAGAAAGAAGAGCAAACACCTAAACAGACTCAAAAATGCTACTCATGCTGAGACAGCGTCAGAGAGGAAATGAAGGTTTAACAGTTCAAATACAGAATATTTCTTCTCTTTCTGGGGCAAGACAGACTTGCTCAGAAAACATGGCAATTTGCCAGAGCTGGGAGCCTCCAGGAACTGAAACAGAACAGTACTGGTGACCCTTCACTGCCTTAGACCAGCTGTTGCAGAAAAGGCGAACACTGGTGTGTGCACTGCTACGTGAAAGGGAAGAAACCAGAGTACATGGAAATTGTCACATCAGCATTAGTCTGGGAATGTGTATCTTTGTTGGTGGGAACGTAATGTTTGCAGGGTTTTTTTTCATAATATTTTTTTTATGAGGTACATCTGCAACGATACATTTTTGTTCTAAAATACTGCCTATATTTGCGCAGTTGGGGGAGTTGGCTTCACCCTATGTACTCTAACTAATGGAGAATGTATACTGAGGAAGAATCACAAATAGCAGCTGCAAAATTCTGGAGATCTAAACAGTGTTCAGCCTGACAAGGTGATTTCTCGTTCCCAACTAGATCAGCTCTGGGAACATCTGTGCTATAGCACACAGAGACATGAGCTGAGTAGTAAGGACCAAGTGCAGTGATTCAGCTGGCCTTTGGATATCTGCTCTCTGTACTGGTTGAGACGGAGAGAATGCATTTGGGCTTCCCCTGCCTATATTACGCACAGTCAGTGGGCTGTAGGAAGCCTATCAAGTGATGTTGGCTTGTTGGACAGACCAAAGTTTGGCCTGCCACTTCCCTTGACACCAATGTATTTTTGCCTCTGTATTGATGGGCTGGACAGAAAAAAAAATGAATCAGATGTAGCTAAAAGGAAGTTCATGTCATGCACATTGTGAAGAGGTTCACAGGGCATGTGAGGATGGGGATATTTTAGTCAGATAAGAAAAGGAAGAGACAAATATTCAGTGGAGCACATGTGTTTAAGTTGTGCAGTGCTGATACACAGTGGAAGGCTCCATGGTACCCTTTCAAAACTCCAGTTCCCAGTGTGAAAAGAAAGCAGTATTTGAGTACAGAAGAGGCACTCAGCAAGCCTAGAAGGAGCAGCTGTTGAGTCAGATATGGAGAGGGAAAACCAGAAACACTGAAAGCTGAGCTCAAGCAGATGAGAGCCGAACAAAGAAACTGCAGAAGAGAATGCAAAAAGATGCAGCCCCACAGGCTGTCTTAACCTCAGTTTTCTCCTAATCCAGAGTGGCCTAAGGTTGGTTCTACAGTGGAGTGGGAAGTTTTCCTAAAATTTTGTTAGCCTTGTATGAGTATCTGATTCCAATGGTAACTGTCTTCATTTTTAAGTATTAAGTATTCCTTAAGTATTCTTATTTATACCACTGAGGGATTCTGTTTTCAACACACTTTTATAACTAGAAAGTAATAAATATCCAGTCTACTATATAGTTATATTGTAGGGGAGGAAGAGGCAGATGTACTGCAAATAATTTTTAAGCATTCCTATCCATGTTGTCTGGACGAAAATGATAGAATGTGGCCTTTCCTGAAACTCTTCTCATCTATACGGACGTAATGCTGCTAACTTGAACACTTTTCTTCCTGTTTTGAAATACATCACATGGGAGGATACTCCCAGTGTTCTTGTCCAAATTGATAGAGCTCTATCCTACCCTGGCAGTCACAAGAGCTCACTGTATTCTTCTCAGATATGTATTTGCAATTAGTCATCCATACAAGGGGACTGTTTAGGACAAGCCTTTCCCCCAAAGCAGTTAATTCTTCAAAATGAAAATAATCAGATAATGAGTTCATTTCCGATTTCACATTTAATGCCAAACATTTTCGGGTAAACAAGATATGCTGGCAGAGCTCTCTCCTCATTGTATGTTTTTTATTAACTGGGAAACAGACAGTTGATTCTTATCCTCTCTATCAGCTCAAATAAATTACACATATTTTAGAATGGGAGGCTTGTGCAAACTGGCTGGCTGGTTTCAGTGTGGGAGCCCAGCAGCCATGCTGTGCACACTGCACTGAGGTCAGCTGCAGCAGGCCCTGCTAGAGAGAACAGAGAGCCTCCGAAAGCCCAGCTTAGGAATCTCTCACTTTTTGATGGAAACTTTTACCACAGTAACTCATATTTTTGCAGCATGAAAATAAGTAGGGCAGCAGACAGCCTGTCTTTGAAAACATTATCATATAAGACAAGTCCAATACCTGAGCTGCTGCATCACTTCTGCTGACAGCCCCGTGGCAGTGAGAGGATGCACCTGAGTAGCATGTGTGTTTCTTCATGGCTCTGTGCTATTCTTAAGCTGACGTGGTCTTCAGCTGCTAGTGAAGCACAGGGTAACAGATACTGCTAAGTTTTTGGAGCAAGTTGTTTTAAAAAGTTTGTGTAGAGAGGCAAGAATATAACAGAACATGGGATGAATAAGTGTTAAATACAGTTTTTCCTCCCATGAGCTCCACTTCGACTTGCTGTAGTTTTGCAGACCTGCCAAGGAGAACAGAATTTGGGCCCCTGACGATGTTATAATTAATACCTCTTCTCAGGAAGGAGAAACTAAGAAGAGAGAAATTGGGAAGATTTATTTGGAAATGGTATTTATGTCATGTCATACTTTATATTAAAAGCATTAAAAGAAGTTTAATAAAGATATCCCAAATTTCAGTTAAGAAGCTGAAGCTTTCAAAATCATTCTTAATTTTGAACATTGTAGATTAAAATTCAGACTGTTGTCTCATCTCTCTTGTACAGACAACATTCCTCCTATCTGAGTGTACCAAAAGCTAAAATGTCACTTATTAAACAAGGGAAATCTGTCTTCCCTGTTGATTCTTTATATCGGGGAAACACTGAGGCTTACAGTGCTACCTCTGTCCAAAATGAGAACATAGAAACAATCTCTGAGGGAAAGAGCTCGCAGTCTAAACATAAAACTAAGAGTGAGAAGATGGAGACAGAAAAGAAGGGAGTACAAATGGCCGCGATATCCATCAACACAGCCTCAGTTCAGCACTAATCACGCTGCCATTAATGTCTTAAATGGTTATTGCAGGAAGGAGGATTCCAAGGTAGGATTTGAAAGGAAGTAATTTGGTTGTTTTTATTGGGCTTTATATAAAAAATTAGTGAGAAACATTGTCAGAAGAGTGTTTCTTAACCCACGTTGTTTTCAGGAAGTCATTATTTCACCTCAAAAGTCTCAGATACAGATGTTGAATAAAAAGGAAAAGAAGAACTTATTAATTTTTTTGATGTACAAAACCATACCCGTGACAGTGGAGGCTGTAACAGAGGTACATGAGTGCAGTTAGAAAAAGACTTTGACTCTGCAAGCTCTGTACAAATCCTGGCTCTGGCAGTTCCACTGCTCAGCTTCTTGGGATCTGCTGAACAGAAGTTGCCTGGATTTTTGCAGGGGTATAGAGGACAAGGAGTCTGATGTCCACAAAATGAAGCCAACGAATGCTGTGATTTCTGGGAAAAACAGTACTTGCAGCATGGGCTCTAGACAGAAGGAACTGGGGCATTAGTAACATGTGACTTGAGACAGTCTCAGCAATGCAGCGCTTGCTGTCAAAAGGATAAAGGAATGTCTTGAGAGAAATGCTCCCTTCCAACCCTCTACTTAGAGGGGGGAAAAGTGCAAATATTTTTCTTTCTGCTGTCATTCTGATGATGAAGCCACCATTTGGATTTTCCTAACCCGATGTTTAACTTTCAGATGACAGAAATATAGCAGCACACAAGAGCCCAGTCTCAGTTCTCACATGTATGCTAGTTAACACTTTGATGGCTGAGTTACATTCTAAGCAAATCTAAGCTGCTTAAATACAAAGTATTCGGCAAATTATAGCTTCCCCACGCCCCTAAAAAGGAAAAAGACTGAATATATTATCTAAGCTTTTTCTTTTTTAAAGACCTTCTTAGATGGTTTTCTTTTCTTTTTCAGTAAAAGCCTGATTTGGAAAGCTATTGTCTGGAGATTGTATTTGCATAACAGCAAACAGAGTCAACCTACATTGTCCAGTGTTGAGGGAAAAATAACCTTCGGAGAAAAGGAAGGCAATTTGCCCTGCAATGAGTCATCAGCTCTGCTGTGCCGAAGGAAGAAGACATTTTTGAGGAAAGGCTGCTGGCATATATCTACTGTAGAGGAGAAGAAACATATAGTGTGAGAATGGTCATACCAGGAGAACTGTCAAAGAATTGGATATATGCTCTACTTTTCTGTTCCTAAGAAGCTGATCCCTGGTAGGTTGATAGGGGTAGTTGTCTATTGCAATGCTTTAGGGTTATTTCAGCCATTTCAAGCCATATGCCTAGTGTCTAGGTTTCCACAAGTTTGAATTCAGTTAAATATGAATTCAGTTAAATATCAACCAATTTTTCATACAGGCAATGACGAATCCTCTGAAATTTCTGGTTCACACTTGTTTGGGATTTTTTTTTTTTTTTTTTTTTTTTGTATTCTATTTGTCTCACATTTTCACATTTACAGCAGCTTTTATACCGTGCTTTTTAGGGAAAAAACAGTGGTGAAGATATTCAGAAAACCATCATGATTCTCTGCAAGATCCTTTGAGGAACTCCACTACAAGAAAACAAAAATGGTGTGCTCTTGAGAGGTGATATTTTTTTTAATGGATCTTGGTACTTCATTATCTGCTATGCCAGCCCATGTCAGTTATGAGAGTAGATTTGGTATGAGCACCCCATTTCATCAGTTAGGAAGTAACCATGTGTTATAACCTGTTGTTGACTTATGCACCCTGCTTCCTCTGGAAAATATGAAATGAAGCTACTGTTCCTGATATTTCTCAAGTATGGAATTTCCCTTAGGAGTACTGAATTTAGACTGGTCTCCTGACCACTCTGAGGTTTGTCAGAGAGCAAACATCTCCCTTGCCCAGGCAACATGGCTCCCGCCTCCTGGAGAAATAGCTCACGAGGAACACTACAGCCTCCAACTAAAACGTAACTCTAGTTTGTCCTTCACGTGTGAAGCCAATAATGATTCTCTACCACAGTTTTTGAAGATATTTCCAAGTATGGCAGGGTGCAGTGGCAGGCACATAATAGGATTTTTGGCATGTATTAGACTGTGCTCAACAACTCTGCTCTCTGATCCAAACATGCCCACCAAAAATAACTTCAGTGAACAGCTTTTATTTTAATTATTCCAGCGTGGCACTCATTAAGTTTTGCCAACAGTCTGGTTTGTAAAGCTTTTTGTGTCTAAGCGCAGAAACCCATAGTGTGCAGTTAACTCCCTACTGGGATTTTCCTGATCCAGACATAGGTCTGTTCTGCAACCTCATCTTTCTTTACCTATCTCTTGCTTTTAATGCTGTTTACCCCATTGACTCATTGAAATCTCACCCTTTCTTTGCTTTTGTGACTGTTCTTTCCCAACTTTCTCTTTTAATTTTCTGTTTTCTCATTCAGCTCCACTTTTAGCGGCTGTTGGTGGATAGTTGGTGGTTCCCTCGTAGTTCTGATCTCTGCAGGGCTCTTGGTGAGCTTTGTGTGTGGTTCTCCTCTTCCCCTTCTGTGCTCTCTGCCCAGCCTATTTAGAGTATAATAACAGAACAACTATATTTTTGCTAATGACTTGCAAATCTGCCTTTTCCAACCTGATCTATTTCCTTTTGTCACTGAATCTTTCTGAGTTCTTCCCTACTGGTCTCCCTCTTCCTGCCTCCTTCACTTCTCATCCATGTCATAAACCTTAAAAAAAACATAAGAAAAAAACGTCCCTATGGTTTTGTGGTATAAACTTCTCTGTTCTGCAGAACCCTTACATGGCCCTGAGTTGACTGTGATCATTCTTCTGTCTTCAACTATTTGTTTAACCCTTTCTTTGTCCAACTCTAATTTGTTTTGCAAGTAAGCATGTACAATTTGGGACATGGCAATGGTGCAGTATTTAAGTGGTTTCTATTACCTTGTAAATAACCTCAGATAGGCAATAAATTTCCCTTTCAAAAAGAATAGATGTGAAAGGGAAAAAAATATGGAGTCACTAGGATATTTGGTTTAGATTAGGTTTATTTCCTTCGGTTCGTTTCCTAAACATGCCAAAAGAAACAGCCTTAGAAGGAAAGAGTGGAAACTTCCCAGATCAGGATAACCTATAGCCTGGCAGTTCTTAGCACAGATGTGGGTTATACAGATTCCTTAATACCTAGAAGGAATGGAGCCCAGAGCTCCTGCAGTGGGAGGGAGCACCCCAGCTGTAGTCCTATTGCACAAAGCCGCCAGCAGCAGCAACTTCTTTCTCTGTTTTTGTGGAGGAGGGTGGAGATCCTTGACTTGAGATAGGCAACAAAATTCCATAGAGGCTTAAGATAATTCCAATTTCCTCAGCATTTCCTAATGGTTAATTTGTGTAGCTGATGTTTGGGATGTTTGCATTCTTCAGTGCCCAAGCTCTGGATCCCACCAGGCAGGCACACACCTAGGAGTCAGGAGCAGCAATTTTTTTGGCACCGTGGGGCCAAAATCCTGCTTGTGTCCAGACCAGAATATTTATCTGTAAACGCTTAGCACTGCCATGCCTTGTTGTTTCTTGCCTTGATAAGTACTACTAATATTAAGAATGTAGATGACATGATATTTGTTTTTAGCATTTGTATAACTTTTTACATGCTGTCTGTTACAACATCTATAACACAGTACTTAAATGCATGGAGCAAAACCAGAGGAATACCTTTGGAACAGCTAAATTCACACACTAGTGCCACTGAACTAGATTATCTATGAAGATTCCTTCCAGCTGAACTATTCTATTATGTTCTGTTATCATATTGATGCTAATAAGAAAAATCCTACGAGTTTCAAAGTGTCAGGGTATTCTCCTGCCATATATGCTGTCCGTCCCTAGCAAGATGTAATGTTTTGTGAGAATCTCTTCTTATTCAAGATATTTTCAAACTACTGGATATTCGTGTGCTCCTCTGTGTTTGACTCAGCCTGAAATGCAATATCCAACTTTGGTCTGTATCCTGGTTCTGCTACCTTCCTTTCTGTGAATATGGGGAGTATGCAGTGAGAGACTGTCAAAGGTCTGGAGGTCCTTCAGTCTCAAATTGCATTTGAAATTCCACTTTAGCATTTCCATAAGGCCCATAGATATTCTTGGCAATTTCCAGTAGTCCTTATCCAAAAGCATTTAGAATATAATTCAGATATACAATAATAAAACTAAAAACAGGGAGAACAAAGGAGCAGAATAACACTAGATATAGTTAGAAGATCAGTGACAATTAGGTGTAAAGGCTTGGACAGAAGGACACTAAATTATTTTTCTTGATTCAACATGACAGTGTAAGAAATGTTTCTAGAAGTCAGGATTATTAGAGGAGGGTTTTACATGAAGTCTGAATGCTTATTAGAGAAAGACTAGACTTTGTTATCCAGCATGAATATTGGGGAAAAATGGTTTGCTGATCTTGTTTTTATCAGTTTGTTTTCTCCCAAGTTAGGGTTGCATTTTCCCATCTGTGATTAAAAATACATATAACGAAGAAACTGTAGCCTTACTTTAAGTGCAAAGAAAACAGAACCAGAAGTTGTGCTTTATAGGAAGCAGAGAGATGCTGCAATGTTCAAGTAAGTACTAGCCAGCAGCTTTTTTTTTTTTTTTTTTTTTTTTTAAATGAGATTGTCTGAATTAATGGAAAAGCTATTACTTTAAAAATTTTCAACTTTTAAAAAACAACAACCTCAGATCTTGTCAGTTTGGTGCCTACTCTCTGGAAAGTCACCAAATCTCACTTGTTTCGCTTGGGCCTCACTCAAACATAACTGGCCTCAAGCTAGTAAGCAAGCCAGCAAATGTCCTGGCTTGTAAAGAAATCTGATCCAACTCTGTAAACTGAACCCAGCCTAGGAGCGGCGGTGAGGGGAACATATGGAAAATTAATGACAGATAATAGAATGGTGGGACAGCCTTAAATGAAAAAAAGATTGTTATTAAGTTTATGCAACAATTCCAGCTAATGGTCTTTTGGCTGGAGGGTCTTTTAAGCGGAGAAAGTTACAGAATAGCTAAAAACTCCTTTTCACTTTGCCAGCAACAAAGCTCCAGAAATGGCTGCTGCTGCACTGCCCTTACCACTTCTGCCTGTTCTTAATTGATACCTGTAGAATTACTATATAAGCTGGTTCAGCTGCAGCAGCACTTTGGGAAGTGCAGCAGTTCTGGTCCCACCTGTTTAAATAAATGGGAGCCTCAGGAAAAGGAGTGGATTGGAATTTGCTTGGGCTCAAACAGTGAATGACAGCAAAAGCTAGGCTGAGAACTGCAAGCTTAGCCAAGCATTAGCATGAGGTGGTAAGGGCGGAATGGGTGTTTTCTTTTTTTTCTCTCCATAGACCTCCAGGCATTTTACAAAGATAAGCTACTCATGGTATGGTGTCATGAATAGGGAAACTGTCCCAGGGAACTCATGGTTACACAACCCCGCTCTGGTGAAGGGAATGAGTTTCACAATAAAAAGGAAAGTAGAAGAGCTCACTTTGAGAAAAGAGTGCATATTTCTGGAATACTTGTATCCCATGTTTATTTGGCTGGTGGCCTGGGGTGCTCATTTAGTGTAGACGTGAAACTATGGTGCCACACAGTAGTCATTTTTTTTTCCTAAAAAGTGATTTTTATTTTCTTTTCTTTGTCCAGGACTTGAATTACTGCAGACCAGCTAAGATACCAATCTTCCTGATTAAAGACTAAAATGCCTTTCTTTCTTGCCATTCTCACAATGGAGAATCATGAAGCTGCCTTTACTTGCTGAGTAACTCAGGTGTGTCTCCATTCCTTGTCCCCATGTCCGGTTGATGATTTAGCTGATCCCTGACCTTGAAGGTTTTATGTATATCTGAGGAAAAACAGCAAGAGCTATGCTATGGTAAAATGACAAGTGGTGGTCTCCATCTCTTTGTTGCTACATGACAGTCTATGGCTGTTAGATTACTGCCTTTGCTTATTGGTGCGTAATTTAGCAGGAGGAGCAGAATTTATGCTCCTTCAGCTGTACCTCACTACAGGAGAAAAATTGTTATCTAGTCTTAAGTTTGTGTCTGTTCCCTTCTTAAGGTGTTTTTCTTTTATAATCTAAAGCGAGGACTGCATGCTGTGATCCTTGCAAAACCATTCCCCTTTCTTAGGAATATACCATAACATTAGCTCAGTGTTTATAGTATTTCCCATTCCTTGCTCACACTTGCAGTATGGAGTACAACACACCCTATTATCTAGTAAAAAGTAAAGTGTCAGCTGAAATGGAGTGGCAGCAGAAAGTGTTTTATACATGGCTGTGATAGAGGAGTAGATCCTCACCCAGCTCAACAACATCATTACCAAATGCATTTCTGGCATCATTTGCCCTGCTGCACACCAGCAAATGATGAGCTTGATGTTGATTTTCCCACTCAGAGACCTTTTAGGGCTGAAAGTGGAATAGCTCACCTGGCTGTTAAGACTTAAAAATAAATAAAAATTTTGTTGTACCATTTACCATAACTTTCTTTTTCTTTCTTAACCTGTTATTTCTGTGCCAAGAGAATGTGCCAACATTTAGTCCAAGAAGACTAAATCCACAGTGATCCTCCCTAGAAGAGCCTTGAGAAGGCCCTGGAGAGAGCCAGGATCCTGCAGAATGTGTAAGGAGAGGTCTCTGATGTCTTCACTTTGCCTGACTGCTCTACTGACAGAACGCACGTTTTTCAAGCAAAAGGTTTTTGCTTTGTTTTTCCTCTCTGCAACATTACTGCAACTTAAAGATTCAATTTGGGGTCAAGATCCCACCAGAAAAAGTGTATTTTGTGACTTATATTATATAGACAATTTGATTAGATTGTCACAAGGTTTCACATTATCCTTAAAAATTAATATTTATTAAAAAAATAGTTGCATTAAAAAAAAACCAACCATAAACATATAAATATACCTTTATTTAATATTACCTACATACAAAGTGGCTGTACTAATACCAATAGTAAAGCAGAAGTGTTTAAGAGGAAGGAGGAGTGACTTAGCAGGCTGATTTTTTTCCTGAGAAGTAACTTTTAAACTTCTTCACATCGCTCAGCAATTGGGAATCAGTGTAACGGGGAAAGAAATAAGAAATGTTTAGAAATCCTGATGTTTCCAAACAGAAATGTTGCCATTTCTGTTTTGATAAATCTGTTTAAATCCTTTCAGATTCCTGTGGAGGAGTAAAACAGCCTGAAGGTACCACTTATGATGTAAAAGAGTGTTCTCTGTGACCTTAGCAAACCTATGAACTGACCAAGAAAGGTGATGGCTCCTGAGGGCACAGTGCATGTTTTGCTTTTCTAATGTCCAGAAGATTCAATACATCTGAAATATAAGGAAAAAATTTCCTGCAGGGCAGTAGAGATATCCTACTGACAAGAGGGAGCTGTATTCTTTTCTCATCACCTCATAAACAGTGGGGTTCTGACTAAGGATGTTAGGTAATGCGTGCCATATACAGAACTCAAAGGGGGTATTACTTTCATTGTATAACCCTTTAAGATCTGAGGCAGTATTGTTTAACAAAGCATACTGTTTTTCTCTCTTGCTTTTACTGAGCTTTGATGCTGATTTTAGAACTTGACAGCTGTGTTTAGACTTGTCTTACATCTCCCATACAGAGGGGTGGGGGAAATATGGATGTTTAGGGCAGCAGGCAAAATAAATTGCATAAAAAGGCAGGATTTGCCATGAGGAATTGTGGGATATTCCACAAAGCTACACGTCTAGCCCACCTCCCTTGGGGAGGAGTTTTCACTAAATGCTACTCCCTTATGCACTAGTTGGGAGAGCCTTTTGTCTCAGAAGGAGGCTTGTTGATAGTTAAAACCACCATAGAAAATACCATAGAAAGGTGTGAAGTCTGGTTAGGCGCCATTCTTCATAGGATATTTGTTTGGGATTGTGATCCAGAAGACCTTAAGAGATCCTTAGAGCGGTTTGACTTTCCTTGTAGCATTCCTCTTTGTGACAGTACTTATGTATGAGCTGTGTTACAAAATAATTACAGTGGAAAAAATATCCATTATTAATGGATTCCAGAATTGAGAAAGTCAGAATATAGACTGCAGTAGCTGTAGAATGAAATGAAAATATGTCTTTTTTCATTACTACCAAATCCATAACATCAAACAGAATTTAACTTGTAAATAATATTAACCTGATAAACTGCTAAAGTTAATCTTTTATAGCTTTTGAAGGATGTGAAGAGTTCACGTTTGTTCAATAACTGAGTTTTTTAGATGGCCTATCTTTGATTTATTTGAATACATTGTGAACATTCAATATCTGGAAACGGATGAAAACTGTGAAGTAGCCCCATTTCTGTAGATATCCAAAGAGAATCTCTTGAAATAATTCACTGGAACTGTACAGAAAATGGGTTGGAGCCAAAAAAGGAAAAGACAGAAAATCAGGGGGCATTCAAAACTCTAATGAAATAGAAGTCAGGCGGAATCCTGTTCAATGTCAAAATAACTTTTTTTCTCTTTATTATTCTCTATAATGACAGAAGACTGGATAGTATTCATTCTTCTCAGCTACCACAAAACAGCATGCCACTGAGGTCTCTTAGTGAATTGTATGGCATGATATTGATTTTTTTGTTGTTGTTTTGGGTTTTTTGTGTTAGAGAGGATGACATTTCACTGATGTTTGATTAAGTCATAGGTCACTTAGGGAAGAGTCCTGAGTTTCAGCAAGATTATATCTAAAGAAAGATGCAAAAGCCCAGATCACTTCAGATATTCTTCATGTGCTATATATAGATGTTCTTGCTTCAAAGCCTGAGTGAATTTGTTGGGCACAAAGCCTTTATAGCAGTTTCTCAGTATGAATGCTACCTCCCCAGACCATAAGCAGGTCTATTCTGTAAATACACTTCCCCCACTCTGGTATGGAATGTCTTTACCTTCATTTTATCACCATTTCTTCAGAATTCATTTGTGTTTAACAGCTGAGTGATAGGGCATGATGGCCAATCCTTGCCGGCTATTGCTCATATTTTGAACACATCTTTAACTGGGTATCAGAAACAAGGGTAACTTAATATTTGCCACCATTAACCATTTCACAGTTGATCAGTTTACCAGAAATGTCAAATTAATATACTTTTAAGCCAATAGAGTGCTGTCTGTGTATGGTTGGTATCACTTCTGTCCTCTATAAGTGGAAATTAGCATTTTATAGATTTTACTTAAGCACTGAGCATGGAATCTGTAATTATTCCCATAGAACAAAATATACAAAAGAATTCTCACTACTGATCTAAGATGTTACACAAATATCCTCTTTGCTTAGCCCTCAAATTTAGGCCAACTTAGAGATGGACAATCTGAAAAGTTCTCTAAGTATTTTGCAATAGCTTAGATCCAGACCCAAAATTCATTGCTTACACTGGTCTTCAGTTCCAAACCACTGTGTCTGGTAGAAATGTCTGGAATGTGGAGTACTGTATTTAAAAACAAAGGAAAAGAATCCTTAATAGCTGCTCCATCACTTAGATGAACAAAATCCTGTACCCACACTATCCTGGAAGAAGGGAATAGTAATGATGGCAGAAATGATGGAAAAAAATGATTGAAATAAAACTGTGTACACAGTGACCAGAATTAATCATTTTGAGGCTTGGAACAAAAGTGAAAGAAATAATTAAATAAGTAAAATAAAATCCCTGCTTTTATCCCATAAAACTCTTAAAAAGCTAGTAACAAAATTCAGAGGGCCCGGTGTTCAGTTCCAAACAAAATTCTATGAAAGACCAGGAAGCCATTTCTGCTTGGTTACCCTTAAGCTAAGGATCAAAGCAGAAAGGTATCTCATTTCCATATGTAACTTCAAAATATTTTTAGGAAGAAAGTCAGAAGATGGATCTTAAGACTAGTTATTCTTAGGCTAACTTGTATTAGAGGAATGATTAAGGAAAATACAATGTCTCTTTTCTGGGAGATGGGCCTGTACTCTATTGTACAGCAAACTTCTTCATCTGTCTCTTGTAATTTTTGGTCTGTAAAAAACAAGAAAGAGTGGGACAGGTTTTTTATTGCCTCCTCTCATAAGCTTTCCATATGCTTCTACGACCATGTTTTGTTTTCAATTTTAGTGAAGGTTTTTATTTGGAGACTCATAAAATTCTAATTTATTACAGCTTCTTTTCATAAAATGGAGAGGATAGGAGGGAAATATTGAGAAAGCATGTGCAAGCAACCTCGAGGAACGAATTTGTGAATTTAAAGCATCATTCAGCTTATCAGCCTCTGCTTCAGTTACTGGTAAATACCTTTCCTCATTCTTTAACCTATGATTAGGTATTCTCACTGTATATGTAGAAAGTGTAAGTGACTTTTCAGGCAATATATGTTCTTTTTTGAGGGCTATGGAATTCAAGTGCTGGACCTCTAAAAATCTTAAATAAGTCATTCTGATGTATAATAGGTGTATTGAGAAATGGTGAAGAGAAACTGCCTCCTGAGAAATATCACTAAAAATCACATAATCTTGTTAAAAGTTTACAATCTTGTGGGGATACATTACTAACTGTCCAAGGCCTAATGCAGCCTCCAGACAATGGGTTGGACATGGCTAGGCTAGATGAGTTGACCTTGGTGGGAAACAGAGCACTGAATGCTCTTGAATGTGTACAGGCTTATGCTTCATTTGGTCTGCATTCTTACATTTGTGATTTGTTTATATAGCAAAACTAGTCAACAGACGTATCCAGGTTCACCTGCAGTACCTGATTCTGCTCTGTTTTGAGGGTTGGATCATCAACCAGCCTGGCCAGAGATCTTGTTCTGGAACAGGACTTCTGCAGAAGAAAACAAAGCATATTTCCTATTTACTATCTGCCTAGTTATTTTTCTGTGCTGTTCTCCAGTATTAAATTGATTAGAATCAATCAAAGCCTTATACTTGAAATAGTGTAGAAACCAGGCTCTAATGCATTACTGTGGGATGAAACTTTCGGTAGTCACTGACTTCAGTAGCATGAGTTTATCTCTTTCAGCAAGGAACTGTGTTACATTTACATGATCACACCACGCACTGAATGGGATATCACACCAGCACAGCCTATCTAGAAAGTGCAATCAGGGAGGTAGTTTAAAATTTTGTGAAAACTATGCAAAAGTATATTTGATATGTTCTATGTTTGATAGACATGTAAGCATGTATGCATGCACACACACGTTATTTGAATATCTTCTTATTTCTGAAACACTTCCTACTCTGATCCTGGAGCTGAAATTATATATGTTAAGATATGGCAGTAATACAGCACTACTGTTGTTTTAAAGTATAGAGGGAAGGCCCTCCTGGGAAAAGTTCATTGGGGTGGGTCAACCCAAGCATTGAAAGAGAAACTCAAGTCCCACAGAATGTTGGAAATCTGCTTTTGCAGGAGCTATAAGGAAATATGAGAGCTCCGCTGGAAAGAAACTGTTGGGTAATGGATTTTTTTTCCCTCTAAATAAAACATAGAGCGGGCTTTTAACTGCCTTTTCCTCATCATAGATATTGAACCCTGTTCACTAATGCTAAAGGGGAAAAAAAGAAGATTCCATGTAAAATTCCTACCAAGAGTAAATACAGAAATTGAAATGAAGTGTGCAGCGCACACCCTTTTCTTTCCTTCCTGTTTTGTTTTGTATTTTCTAGCTCTGCTTTTCAGACAGCTGAATGGGGGCTGGGAAAGTGTTTACAATATTTTCACATGATTGAGATGGCAGAGTTCTTGCAGTTCGTGAAAGGCCTTCTGTTTTCAGATGGCATTGAAAGTTTACCGTCTTTCCAGACAAAAGGAAGAGAGCCCGTTGCCAGCGGATGAGTAATGGGCATGGCCTCCAGACAATACCTCCTATCCAGCCCTAAATCTACATGGTGTTCTTAGGCTTCCCAGCTTCTCCAAAGCAACCTTTGTCTCTGCTCTGGGAGACCAAAACTGCTCGTTGGGCGAGTGGGGAAGCAGCCAAGAAGGGAAGGCTCAGTGACAACAGTTGCTCAGTGCTCACTGCCCAGTATCTGCCTTCTTGCTATGCTACTATAATAGTTGGAAACCCATCAACACTCGGGCATCTCCTATACAAATATGTTGCAGACCATCTGTATAGTTCCAGTTCCAGAAAATTCCAGTAACTCACTAAGTTTTAATACTATTTTTTTTCCCCTCATTAATCTGATGGGCTGCCCTGAGATAAGTGATTAAAGCAAAACCGTGCCATAATTACCTCAGAGCTAAAGCTGCACAGAATTTGCCAATTCCTGTATTTGTTTTCTTACAAGGAACTTGAAATAGGCGTTTTCCACCGTTAATTTTTAGGTTCTGTTGATACTTTTCTAGTCAGAAAAACATTTTGGTGAAAATGATTTTGAATGTCAAATTTTGAATATCAAAAACTCAACCAGATGATTCTGAAGTTTGTCCATAGTCTCTGTGCACTTGTTGATGTTATAGGGACCAGTAGATGATTGTTTAATTGTTTCTATAAAAGTTTCCTAGAGCTAGTCTGAATTGATGTATATATGTAATTATATACTACATGTGTCCTGTGTGTGACTGCCTCCCTGCCTACGTGCATAAGAGAACTTGCTTTCTGTTCTCATGTACTTTAAGCACACAGATAAGAGCTTTTTAAGAATTAACTAAGCAGCCATTAGCTACACTAAATTTTGAATATTTTGTCGGCTAAGAATTGTCAGTTACCAGTTCTTGTCCTTCTAGACTGATTTGATGGTGCACAGACACTGATTTGTCAGTGGCAGGAAAACAGGCAAAAACATTTTGCCTGGATTTCTTAGGGGGTGGTTGCAGCTGCTATCAGCAATGTACTGATTAACCTGTAGTAACCTGCACTGCTGACAGTCCCAGGTATACAAGCAGCATATTAAGGTTATTAGCCAAACTGTTTTCTAAATTACCTGAGTAGGGCTTTCAGGACAACTGATTCTATTTTTTGGACTTTTTAAAGAGTTAACTGTTTAAAACAGCATTGAAATAATCTGTCCTCATTTCCTCAGCTGAATAAGCAAGTCAGCTGAAACTCCTTTTTGCTGAAAGGGGGAAAAAAGGGAGGTCGTTTTTCTTCTAAAGAGCATGACCATACACATTCCACTCTAGTGCTTTTAAAGGGGACTTCCCTGTTTCAGGAGCCCTGGAGCATTGAAATACCAACACCTCTTAATTGTTTAATATATTACAACTTAAAACATTTACAGAAGTGTTCTCCAAGAATTTCACTGTTCCATGTGCTTGGTCTTGCACCTCCTAAAATAATAGGCTATTTCCCCTTGGTTTTCTTGTGCTTGGTGCCACAGCAGGACGCCTACTGTGCAGCAGGGGAAAGGGAAGTGGAAAGGAAGGCACAAATGGGGTTCTCTGACATCACGGCTCATGCGTGTGGCACACACAGGCATCTCTGTCTGGCATCATATGGCTGGAGGAAGGGGAAAATAGGATGTCTTGGACTTGGACATAAAATCTTCAAGGATAAAAATATCACAGACCCCTAACACTGTGCCCTCTGAGCAGCATCCCAAAGTGAGTGATAATTCTAGTACCCAGCAGAGCCAAGTTTACAGCATTGTATGATGCAGACATCTTACAGCCTTTCTGAGGCCGTGCCACAAACTGTGTGTAGTGTTGCACAGAGGTGGTGTGATGGTGAAGTACTTTGCATGGAGAGAAAAAAGAAGTAATTCTGAAGAAAAATTATTTTGGTTCAGTGGAGGGAAAATATGATAAAACAATTGGCCTGGCCTGTGCTTAACTAATTTAATTTTCAGTTTGTCTAGCCAAATTGAATGGGATCTTTTTCTGTTCTTATGAAATCAGTCTCTTAACACTGAGCGCTTGGGGCTCTGCCCTGTGCTTCAGTGGGGATCTTCCCTGGCACAGAAGGGTCTGGGCTGGATCCAACCACAGCCGTGTTGTCTTCTGCTGTGGGTCCCAGCTGCCACCCGCATGCCATGTGTGTGGGTCACCTGAATGTGCTGTGGTGTAACTGGGCAAAGGGCCTCAGGACAGTGAACACAGCTGTTTGTAGAGTCTCCCTTCTTCCTGAGTATCCTCTTCACTGTGCAAATACAAGCTTGCACAGATGGCTTTGGAAGAGTCGGGGTTTCAGGCCCTTCCCCAATGGCTCCCTGCAAAGCTTCCAGCAAGAAGCTGGTGGGAGGGTGGCAGTGGCTGCCCCAGGGAGCATTCGGTGCAGAACTGAATGCTTCAGTGGCAGCAGAGGAGCGAGCCACGCAGTGAGTAGCTCCAACTCCACGCTTCCCAGCCAAGCTGCCTGCCATCCCTTTGAACCCAAGGTTCCATGTGACAGGGCAGTGATCTGGCTGCTGAGCCACTAGACTAATATTGTTCTTTTAATCTTGCAAAAATGTGTTATAAAAGAGTTTGATTCACATGAGAAATTAAGTATAAGATCTGTCCTCATAAAGACATTATACCATGAATGCTCTCTTTCTGCTGGCTGCAAGAATAGGTGGCTCAGGGGTGAAAGGCTAGCATTTACATTTAAATACACCTATTGGAATCGCACAAACAGAAGGCTGAAACTACTGCACTCTCTTTGAATGCTTTTAGGGTTGCTGCTTTTTCATACTGCAGCATCTTTTCTTTCTCTCTCTCTCTCACTCTCTTTCTTTCTTTTTCTTTGTTTCTTTCTTTCTTTTTTTTTTATTTTAAATAATAAAAAAAAAAAAAGGGAAACGGGAACCTAAAAGCCCTTAAAATAAAACAAAGGTCTTATGCCAGCAGGATAAATGGACGAGCCTTTTCAAACTAATTATTTTACTTTCATCTGGATGTGCCCCTAGAGAGGTGAAATGCAGATATGAACGGCCTCCTTCTCTGCTGTTACACTAACTGGTGCTGCTGGCTGGGTGTGATGCTGTTTACATTTCTCAGAGAAAGTGAACAACACTTTTTTTATGCCTGCCAAACCCAGATTTCCCCCCTGATAAAACAGAAAGCTCCTTACCACCTGGAGAAAACAGAAACTGAAACACTGCGGAAAGAGCACTTGGTGCCAGGGTGGCCTGGCAGCAAGGGTGAAAGCTCAGCAAAACCCTTGAAATGCACTCACTTAACCTGGGCCAGGGCTTTTTCTCTGGCAACTTCCTCTCCTCTGTGCAGTGACAGATGCTTATAGGCTGCAGTTACAAAAATTCAGGTATTACCTTTGCTTTTTCATACAACTCTTTGGTGAATGTATACGTATAAGCTATATATTTTCTTCGACATTTTTTAATATTTTAGATGTCTCTTTTGTACTTTTCCAGCCAAGCCAGGGGCAAAAACAAACAGTATGAATAAATACTCAAAATTACAGTGTAGCTGGAATTCAGAAATCAGGAGCTGTGTTCTGACTGACTTTTGCACACAATCCCACATTAACACATAACATAAAGATAATAACACTAATCATTAAATATGTTCCAGATGCCTCTCAGCAGTGAATAACTTAAAATCCAGATCTGGATGTGGCAGCTTCTTAATCTCTAGTTAACATTCTTTTCCTTTGGATAAGTATGTAAATCTGCTATCTTTCTATATAACCTTGTGTTGTGATGAATTCCAGTGTATTTTTAATGAAAGTAATGAAATGATACCAAATGCAGGAACTCTTCCAAGTTGAGTGAATGATCAGATCTCCAGAATGCATGCAAAGAAAGAAAAAGGAAAGGACTCTCTATGTCTAGTAGCCATTTATAGCTCTTTTAAAATAACGTATCTAATTGTATTTTTTATTTTTGTAGAGTGTGACCTTTATAATGCTGTGTAGCTGTAAGAGAGGAAATCACATTCTAGTCTTCCTAGTTCTAGCATGCTTGTCTTCCTACTATATCTTCCTAGTCCTTATGGGACATAATAAAAGTTTCAAGAATATTGTCTCTTTTTATTTTGGTCATAATTTTATACCAAATACTCATCACTCTTTCCAAACTGAAGAATTTGTTGTGACCTAAACTCTTCATGAAGAGAAGCTCTGTGTGCATCGGATAACCCCCATGGAGCTTTCCTTTTTCTCTATGCCCTTTTAGAAGTGAGCAGATCGGAGGTGTATATCCTGTCTGCTGTCTGACTGCTACTGAGCATTAACATGGAGTTTAAGGGTCTCTTGTAAAGAGAGGTTATTCTTCTGACCCATGGATACATAGGGCTGCTTTACCTGAATTCAGACTATTTTATACCCTCCGTGGAGTACTTTAGATAACACTTTGCACACCTATGTGTTTTAAATCTTACAGTGCAATGGTGGTGCCTCAGTGCTCCTGAGGGATAAGTCCCTTTCAACCAGCCAACACTGAATATTAAACACCTCAGCCCACTCAGAATTCAAGTAGCAATTATCTTCTGAACAATAAAACACTAATTAAAGCCCATGTTTAAAACATGGATGGTATGGTAGTTGTTCTGAGGTTCCAGTTTCTGGCCCCAGTTTCCTGTTTTCATGATAGTAGTCAGGTAATTCCTGAGAGCAAGGACCAGAATTCTACAGCTATCTCCTACCACTATCTGATAGATAAGTTATTTCTCTTGTTTTCCTGGGGGATTCTTAAGTGTTTCTGGGGAAATGTCTTGGGAACTTGCAGGTCAAAGAAGGAAGCCTGTAGTTGCTTTTCAGTTCTCTTATCGTTAGATCGTGTAGGCAGACAATGGTCTAAGTTGCTGTTTGAGGTTAGAATCAGACACCTCCACTCCAATTCAGGCAGTGTTGTTGGAGATGGGTAAAGAAGTTTATGCTAAAAGTATAGTATCCTTAAGTTATATCAAGCATAGCTTTACTGCAATCAAATACTCATTTCATAGCTTGAGGCTCTCATTTCACACTCTGAGTGAATAAAATACAGCCTGACCCAACAGAGTCTGTGAGAGGAGTGCAAGCTCTACTTAGAGGTTAACAACCTGATTTCTCTCTCATACCAGTTTTACGGTCACTTAGCTCCATTGACTTTGGTGGAATGAGTCCTGATTTACAACGTTGCTTCAGAGCAGGTTTAAAGCTGTGTTACACAATAGCAATGCTGGTGCCAGGTCTTTGGGAGCAAACCTTGTTTGCACTGCGCATGCCACAATACTATCGGGTCTGAGACCCTAAAGGTCTCAAATTTAGGTCTCTCATTTGATACCTGTATGATTTAATATCAGTTATGATTTGGATTTGTTTTTTTTTTTTTTTCAGTGACATCATTTATCAAGGTCCTCTCGGGGATTTGAAATTAATGCGGAGGCTAAAAGCTCCCAGACTTCATATTGGTATGTATTTTTTATGGAACATTCTTAACTTAAAATGCAGTCAGATGTAAAAGCTAAACAAATAAATAACAACAACAACAACAACAACAACAACAAACAGCAACAAAACAGATAGTTATTTAAGAAACTGCTTGGAAATTAGTTTACCTCCAATCACCTCTCTTAAGTGTGATTTCAAATTTGCACACAATAGACTACTATTTCTTCAGACAGTTTCCTCAGTTCACAGTGTCTGATGTGATGTCCCATTGCAGGCCTCTTCCTCACTCACCTTGGCATCCTACATGTAGAGCTGATGGTGTAAATGGTCTGAGTGAATACACCTAATTTAGGAACAAGGATCCGTGTTCTTAGCTTGACTCATGTTGGCACAGAATATTTTTTCTATAGGAAAGCTAAGCGCACCAAACAAGATGGACTTGCAATCCACTTCACAACAATGCCTACTGGAGCTCCTCTTTAGGAACTTCATCCATCTGCATTGAAGATATGGAAAAACTGGTGTTGTGCGCATATGTGCTTTTGTAGCCCTTCTGGTGTAACTTTTAAATTGCTACAGTACACCTTTCACAATTCTTAGGATCTGGTCTGCCACTGGGCAGCTGTAGGAGGACCTTATCTTCTTCACAAGCCAATACTTTTGTCTTCTTACTCAGCGCAATGGTGGTGTTCTTTGGAGAAAAGATCAGCTACCCTGCCTCCAGCCTTTTCCCCATAGCATGATCTGAAGTGGGACAGAAGCATCAGAAGTACAGCGCAGAGGTAAAAAGAGTAATTTGTTTCCTGGGAGATGTCACTGTTGTCATGAGAGACACGAGATGTCATCCTTCTAGAACAGGTAGGCCAGCTCATCCAAAATTCAAGTTCATATTGTGATAATTTGATATCGTGTTAGGAATATTCCTAGTAGGGATAATGAGTTTTATGGCATTACATTAAGGGTAACTGTAAGCAAAAACATACACTCCCCCAACTTAACCCTGTCAAAACTCCACTATGGTTATTTATCTGATGCATCTTGAAGGCTTCAAGGCCTTTGTAGACATCAGGGTTAATGTAAGACAGGCTTTGCTGAAGGAACCAGGTGGCTGTAGTGCCACCTCTCTACTGCTTTCTTTTTCCCCCAAAATGCTGACTTCAAAATGTTTCTTATGTGCCTGGCTGCTGGAAGAGAGCCTCATAGTTGTGGTCTGTTAGTTCAACATTTACTATGCTGCCCAAATGTGAAAGCAAGCACGGAGGGTAGGTTCTCCCTGACTTCTGTGGGATCTGGAGCAAATCCATGAGGAATGCTACTGTTTTCAACACTTTTTGCAATGCCTGAGAACAGGCACACAGATATGAATGTTGTTGCAGCTGCCACATACTACATGTAAGCCACATGTTGATCATTATTCCTTTAAATGAGAAGGTCTTTGTTTAAAATGATTGTTTTCTTCTATTCAGAGCCTACCTAATTTTTTATATGATATTCAAAGGTTTGTGTTTTTAATGTTAATTTACACATCACAGTTTGTATTTAGAAAAAAGACTACCCAGATATATATTTATTTACTTCATAGACAGGTTTATAGTTATGGGGACCTAGCCCTTAACTAGTTGAAACAAATTGGACTATTCATTCTTCAATTGTTTGTATCATTTTACATTGTGGTTTGTTCATTAATCATAGCTCTGCTTCAGTCCCCTTCCCAAACAATAGTACTCTTCTTTAAAATATAATGAACTGTCTTGCATTTATGAGAACTGCATGGTCAAATGATATTAATCCTGCCACCCTGCTGAATGCCATGTCACGGTGCCAATATTTGGACTGAGAATTGATTGCTGGCTTTGGTAATACTGGAAAGGAAAGAAAGATCTGGGCACACCAACTACATCTAAACTATGAAATAAAATTCTCAGAGCTTTTTCCTGGAAACTAACAGGAATGAAAGAGCTTGCATTAACACAGCTGAACTCCTTTTACTCTCCAAATCACAGCATCCACATCCAAAATCTCTACTGGAGATGGTCTCTGATACCAGCTAATATCCAAACTGTGCTTTGGCATTGCCTGGAAGAATGCTAGCTAGCTTGAACTAAAATTATACCAGGGTTCAATTTAGTAGTAGGCACAAAGCCATCCATGGTGGTCCATCCGTGCCTTGGTGGTCTTGTTAAGTTTACTAGTGTCAGAATGAAACCTCAGTCACACTGGCAAGAGTCTACAGAAAACCTTTATTGGCCTCAATGATCAGAAGATACTGAGAGGAATAATTATTAGGTTGTTCACTTCCTTCATATTTGTGTTCTTTTTTTTCCTCATTCTGGCTATTACCAAAATAATACAGCAATGAACATTTTTTTCAGTTTTATAGAGTAATGAAATTGGGTTGTTGCCTGACCAAAATTTGCTGTTAGTTTTGACCGATCCTCTGGGTTAAGAAACAGGCAGAGGTTCTGGAAAAGCCAGCTTCAGCTCTATTTCCTGGCAGACAATCTCCAGTGGCTTTGAGCAAGGAGATTAGGTCATCTGTGATTCCTCAACTCATTTGGATAGTTGGGAGTTAAAAGCTGCAAGGTGTCTCAACACAAACACACCAGGTGCATAAACACACTAAACTGATGTGAACATAAAACTCCCTTTGATTTCTGTGGCTTTTTTTTTTTTTTTTTTTTTTTTTCTTTCCACAAATCTGGGAAGGAAATTTGTTTTAAACTCTATGAAATGGACACAAGTGCATTCACCCTCTAATCAGGATACATTCAGTGTAGCTCAGAGGGAGAGTATGTATAAGCCTAAAGTATTCTACAGGGATGGCTGTGCTAATTTGGGGAGTGCCTGCTCTGTTTCTAGAGCTAACTCTCTGCACCTGATACCTCAATTAACCCATATAAAACTATCCTTCACTATGCTGTACTCCAGCAGTATGAGTAGGAATCAGGTAATTTGTGCTATTATCTTCTTTTCTATTTTAAAGATAAATAGTAGTGGAGATCAAGTTGATTTTAAAAGCTCATAATATAAAATGATTACGTTAAGTCACATAGTATTAAGAAATGACCCGCATGTATTGAATTAAACTATGATTTTCCAGTGATCTCAGCAGCAGCAGAATGGAGATGTTTTAATCGTTGTATTATCATTTTGTGAGTTAGGTAACTACTATGCCAAATTTCTGCTCTAAATGAAAAACAGTATTGTTTTATCCAGAAGGTTTCTGGTTTCTAGCACTAGCCTTTACTTTTCTTGAGGCTCAGACATATGAATTACTGAAGCTGACAAGTACTGATTTCAGCAATTTGAGTTTTCAACAGGGTATGAGTATGTTGTCAATTAATTCAATCGTTTGGTGTGTAACACCTTGCTGAACCATGAGAACTTGATTGTGGGCTTTCACTCAATATTCCTTTTAGGTTAAAAAGCCTCTGTTTCTTAATTGACCTATTCACGGATCAGTCTCATGAAAGAGGCTATGGAGCTCAACGTACACGTGGGTGAATCCTATTTAAGGAAAGTGTTATGAAGAAATAATAAAACTAATTAACATATAAATTGATATATATATATATATGTATAATTATTTTTATTATTTTCTGATCTGGACTTTTAGAACAAGTTACCAGGAAAGGTGGTGGATGCCCCCTATTTGGGGATGCTCAAGGCCAGTCTGGATAGTGCTCTGAGCAATCAGATGTAGCTGTAGGTGTCTCTGTTTAGTGAAGGGGAGTTGGACTAGATGACTTTTAAGCATCCTTCCCTACTCAAATGATTCTGTGATTCTATGAATTGGAATGCACTTCAGCAAAGTAGAAGAGAACCACTTGATTTCCTTCCTTTGGTTCCATGTTTCTGCTTTGTTGCCCCTAATTATGAAGCACTCTCCTGTGGTTGCTTGCATATGGCAGTGACTCTGTTCAGACCTACAGAGACTATTGCATCAGCTAAGGCTTGCAAGGCCAGTATGTGTTTATTTATGCAGCATGATCTTGAGAGGAACCAAGAGGACTTGAATGTCCCTCACGCTGATATCGGTGGTGTAGAAAGTGCTCAGTGCATTCCAGGGCAAAGCCTCAGAAGCTATGGATTAGAGAGCTGCTAACTCCTTTATAAGTATGTGCAGATTCTTTTGGTCTTCTCTGGGGGTGAGTCTGGGCCTCAGCGCTAAAACAACAAAATCAACACTAGCTGCAGTGGCCCAAATAACAACAAAAGAATTTCAACCCAGACACCTTCCAGCGTGGGAATGCTTAGGGATTAGGCAGAGACTCAAGGCGTGAACCAGGGCTGAGATCTCCCTCCCTTTCTGTGGGCAGAGTTGCAGGCAGTGCCCAGCCCTATCAGCACCTTATGGCTGTGCAGATAGGGCTGGTGCCCCTTATGCAGTGTCCAGCACAGACTGGCACTTGTTCACAGTGCACAGGTGCTGAGCAATGCTATGCAGCCATCACCTCTGGCTCTGTCTCAGGCTCTTTCTGACCCTCGCTGTGTATTTTAAAGCTGGATCCTTTCAGCTTATATTCTCCCTCTAACAAATCTTTTTTTTTTCTTTTTTTTTTTTTCCCTTCTCTACTTCCACTTCTGAACCTGCTTTGCCAATCTCCCCATTCCACCATCTATCTACCCCATATGTTTATATTTTCCTACTGCTGAGGCATGTTGTGCTGACCTGCCTGGACAGGGCTCCTTTATCACAGAGATAAACACTATGTCCCCCTCACATAGAGCTTCTATCATGTGTGACCTTTCATCTTAAACTGCCATGACTTTTTTTTTTTTTTTTTTTTTTTTTTAATTAATGCTCTACTGTGCTGCTTGCAGAAGCCAGGAAAGAAAATCTTTTGTTTCTAGATAGAATACTGCTAAAGGACATGATACGGTCTTGTTTTTAATCCAGCTAATTAAAATCTGCATGTGCAGTGTAACTGAGAACACACAGCCTTCGCCCACCACTTTCCCACAGGCAGGGAATAAAGGCCTTTAGTGCAGCAGCAGCTAGCCACCCTTGGATAACAGAGAACAGAGCCCACAATTCATCCCAGCTTTCCTTATCATATCCGTGGAGGGCTTTCCCCTCCCTCCCCCTCTCTCCTCATGGAATCACTTACTGTAGCTATGTGCCTCTATACATCACTGCGGAGTGTAATCAAGTTAAAAATATGCTTGCTCTCATTTATCTATGCACCAGAGAGCTCTGAATATAATTCACTTTCAGTAAGAAAATGGAGAAAGAGAAGAAAAAAAGAACAACAACAAAAAAAGGGAAAAAAAAGCAAATTTCTAATCAGAGGTCAAACCTGTTTACGTTAAAACTGTTTTGCCAAGAACTAACTGAATAACACAGTTTAGCATTTCACACTTTTCTATGGTCATTATGTTGGGTTTTTAGGATTTGCTGGATGGCTGTGGTTATTACTAAGGCATGGTTATCACTAAGGCTGGCTTTTGTGTGTGCGCTAGGGAGAGGGTGCCATGGAATGTTTTTTTGTGAGGCATTTCCCTGGTTAGTTTTTCACTTGTTGCTTTTTGTTGAGTAACTGAAGTAGGGGAGGGAAGGGGGAGAAGAAGGGCAGCCGGGTGGGAAGAAACAGTATGGCCAGAATGGGAAACTGAGCCTCCACCTGTTTTCTCTTTCTCCAAGTCATGCTTTATATGAAGATGAGGTCAACAGGGAGCAAAAAAATGTGCCAGGAGATTCAAAAGTTGGAAGGAGATTGTACAACATTAGCAGAAAATGCATTTGAATGACTGTAGAGAAGCCCTCCCTTCTCCCATAAAGCACAAACAGGCTTTCTGTGGGCATCCCTTGGTAACACTCACAAAGAGCTGCTCCAGCAGCTGTGTGTATAGCCAAATACCATCGTAGGCTGCTGCAGAGAGGGCTGATTTCTGTGTCAGCTTCCTGACTAAAAGGCAACATGGTATAGTTAAAATTACAAATATATATATATTAAAGTAGTTTTGAAACAGTGAGAGTCTTGAATAAATATGCAATGTGTCTGGAAATAAGTTATGGTCTTACTTAATTTGCCTGTAATGGATTATTCATATAAGGGTTGTACTCAGGGTATGATTCAAGAGATATGAAAATGCTGTGTTTTGAATTCTAACAATGCTTATTAATTGACAACTGTCTAACTAAAGCACATAAACATACAGTTAAATACCTGAGTATTTTAAAAATAGAGAATAGAATGATTAAAAAGCATCAGCAGGTGCCTATAAGTTAAAATATATATATATGTTATATATATATATTTTATATATATTTTACACATATATAATAAAATATAAATATATACATTTATATACATTACATTTATTATACATATACATTATACCTTTATATATATTACATATATATAAATAAAATATAAATATAATATATATACATATATTTTATACATATATACATATTTACCCATCAAGTACAACAGTGCTGTTTGCCATAATTTGATTGTCTTCTACTGACCTCTGTATAAATGAATACATTGGCCTGTACATGTCACTTTATTTAGTGCCTATGGAAGGATAACAGAATAAAAAAACTACTAGTATATTTATATAACACTCATCTTTAACAGTCATGTAAGATATCATGAAAATATATGTGCAGGAATCTGTATGTTCTCTGAAATATATTTCTAATCAGTAGAGTAGTGATAGGTAAGAAAACGTTGATCTGCATTTTTCCAATTTTATATTTTCCTTCTTTGTGTATGTTGCAGTTTTCAATAATTTGAAAAATGTATTAAATAATTGAATATATTCAATAACTCAATAACATCTGTATTGATGCAGTAAAAAGGTTGCCGATAGTAAGTCATTTTTTAAAATAAAATTAGTGTTTATTATATAAGCAATATAAGATTTATGAAATGCGTTTAAGCATGCTAATCATAATAAATTTTATTACTGTTACTAAGTAACCTTCCTTAAATATTAAAATTAATTTGTATTTTGGAGGAACACATAATTTTTACTGGCAGATATGTTGTTCAGTAATTTCCTGTAATTCTGTATAACTAATAACATAAATTAGGCTGATGATTATTGTTTTTATCGCTAATAACAGTTATTGTAAATCCCTTCTTATGCAGAGGGCACATAACAAGGTGTGAAAATTGACCACATTGCTATGTTAGTCACACATGACAAGCAACGTGGCATAAATTCCCACTCAAAAGTCAGTGAAGGGTGCTGAACATCAGGGCAAGCTAAAGGTCAGGCTTAATAATGGGATATAAGCCTCAGATCCCTACAGTGAGCATTTAATATGTTGGAAATCAGGATTCCTTTATTAAGTCCCTAAACCTCTTTGTGAACTCAAAACTATATCCCAAAATGTTAGCTTACAATAGAGCTCCAAACTGAAGAGGCTTACAAGTCAAAGATGAAAATTATTTTAAATGTTCAGTATGACCGCAATAGGATCACTTCAGCATAACAATTCTTCTTTCCTTTACTAAATTCATATAAAATCACGCTCTTAAATCTGTGCCAGAACAAGTGAAGAGAATGATTGTGATTAACTTTCTTTTGACACTGCAAATTCCTCTCGCAGTCTAATTCTTGGATTTCATTGCATCCCTTCCAAACAAAAGCTGTCTAGCTTATTTGTGCAAGAATGTTTTATAAAGCTATGAAATGAAGGGCTGATTAATTGCTCTTTCTTTCTTCCAGTGATGTAGACTATGGCAATAACACTTCATCCAAACCCCTGATTCAGGGGACAGTAGGAGGCAGCTGCTGAACTGCAAATGGAAACACGAGTCACCCTTGATTTGGTGCAGCTATGTAGCTCTGGAAATGGAAGGATAAATCTGAACAAAATAGATTCATATAATATCCTGAATTGGAAGGGACCCACAAGGATCACTGATTTTTAACCTCTGGCTCCACACAGGACCACCCAATGCTCAAACACTATGTCTGAGAGTGTTGTCCAAAAGCTCCTTGAACTTCAGCAACTTGAGGCCATGCCCACCATCTCTGGTGCAGAACCTTTCCCTAACCTGCACCTGACCCTCCCCTGACGTAGCTCCATGCTCTTGCCTTAGAACTCTGTCAACAGACAGCAGAGCTCAGCTCTGCCCCTTTTTTCCCTATGAGGAGCTACAGCTGCCATGAATTCTCCTCTCAGCCTACTCTGTTCTGGACTGAGTAAGCCCAGTGACCTTATCCACTTCTCAAACACCTTCCCCCTCCAGATCTTTCACCATCTTTAAAGCCCTTCTTTGGATGCTCTGTAATAGTTTTGTGTCCTTATATTGTGGTACTGAATGCTTTAGCCAGGTTTTGCCTGCTGATTATAATTCTATGTGAATAAAAATTGAGCTGGGAAATCAGTATTTAGCCTATTGCTAGCTTAATGACAAAAACAGTAACTCTAACGTAGTTGTAAGTAATGGGAACAAAGTGACAGCAGTCACTGATTTTAGGTAATTAGTTATCAGCAATGAGAAGAGGGTGGTAGCAGCAAGAGGCTGGGGCTGGCTGTCCTGCAGACACTTTGGTGGGAGCACCACCACAGCTCCCACTAAGTCACAGAAGTAAGTAAGTAAGCAGGTGTAAGTCACAGAAATGCAAAATGAGTAATATTTTCAGCATTATGGAGGCTTTGTTTTTTCATTCATCTTTGGTCTGTGAGTAAGGTTCAAATTTTTCCCTGGGATAGGGTTAAATCCAGAAGGAGCCAGGAATGTCCACGTGGTCCTTCTTGCACTGGTACCCTTGGACTATGGTGCACCCATTGGTGGGTGTTCACAAGGCACCAAAAGACCACCCAAAGCCAAAAAAAACCAGCCCAGAGGTATAAGGTAAGCAGAAAGACTAAAAGCTCTTTCCCATGGAAAAGCCACTCTGTGCTACCAAAAAGTAAGATGAAACAAAAAAGCCTGAATTTAACACAACACATGCACGCTTTCTGAATGAATTCAACATAAAGGTCACTGAGGTGATAAGCAGTGCAGCGGAGCATACACTAGAAGTCATTCTCAGCTGTGATTCCTAACAGCTTCTTGTTTGGAGAAAACATAGTTTCTCCAAACCCTATTGTTTGCATCTGTGAACTAGTTACCTGATTAGCCCACAGTTTAACACGTGCCCAGACTGTTCTCTTTCTGTAGGTGGTAATGCTTGCTTCTGCTGCTTTGGTTGACTGTGTGATGGGGTTTAGCTGCTACTTCCCATAAATGCTGATGCACCTTGATAATGTTCTTGTTACTGTTTCCTTTGCTCTGCTTCCAGAAATCATTCTACCTTACAAACCTCTTCATGAGTTTTTCCTTATTTGATATTTTTCTTCATCTGTGAAGTGATACAGGTCGTGTTTCAAATCTCAGTAGCTGTTCTTTATGTAAACTTGCAACAGATTCTTGAGAGGTAGATAACCTTGCTTCTTGGTCTTTTTCCCTCTTTCTTTACAGCTTTTCATTTCACATAATAGTACTATCTATCACATATAAAGTATAAATCAGGCTTTGTTTGTTTGTTTATAGATATCTTTTAGTCCATTTAAAGTAACTTCACAGCTGAGAATCTAGCCCTGTCACTCCCTAGTGCTCTCTGAGCTCTGCTTGTCCCTTTCTCTAGCTCAAGCAACTTCTGATTTCTAAACCTAGTACTTCTCACATCTTCTATCTTAGATGCTTTGTTTCAAGGAGGAGGATTATTAACTTTTTAGTTATTTCTTGTACTTCAAATCACTTGAAGCCTTCCTATTTCACATATTGCAATCTTTGTCTTAAAGAAACTTTTTCAGTCTTGGATTCCTATGCCATGCATTTTCAAAGGGTTTCTCTCAGTAATTCCCATTGCAGTGAGTGGAGTTACTGCCTCTTCCATCTGATCCCGATAAGTTAACAAGTTAGGGGTCTTTTTTTTGTTATGTACTTTGCTTGGATTTCATTCCTCTCTCATTGTAATTGGTTTCCATGGTGAAAATGAAAAGTATGAGCAATTCAGGCTAAGGTTCTGGAGGGACTGTAGTCTTAAAAGCTATGAATCTACGAGGAAAATGTAAACTTTCTTAGTGTGAAGAAACATAATATGTTCTTATGTTTTAAGAAATGAAAAGTGCTAATTAATCATGCTTTGAACTTGGTGTACCAGTCAAAAATTCAACTCTGACCTTGACTTAATAGCATTTAGCCAGCTGATTACAATTCTCCTCCAAAACAAAAGTCCATATACCTTACATTGGTCAATATCATAATGTAAATGTGAGTAACTGTAAAAACCCTTTCTTCCATTTTCAGTCAGAGGGAACAAATCCCTCTGAAGTCCCTGGGAGCAAAACCACCTGGTCTTAGGGCTGGCAGAACTGCTGCTCTCATTCTTACCACACGTAAGAATGACTTTGCCCTGCCTGCTATCCTGCTTTTGCCTCTGTCAGGTTCATTATGGAAATAAATTATGTTGTCACTATGTAATTGGCAGATTTAAATAATTCTTCATAGATTAGTGAGACAGTTTTTTTTTTTTTCCCTGCAGAAATCTTCCTGATTAAACTCTGTGACATACTGAACATCCAGCTGTTTTATTATTGTGTTTTCAATGACCATTTCAAAGGGATGCCTTGAATAACCAGCAGAGACTTTTACAAATAAAAGTACAGCTTGAGGTACTACCTCATCTTCTGCAACAGTGATTACCCTCATGCATACTGAAATTTTTGTGGAAAAAAAAAAGCCTCAACTTTTTACAACTTATATGAATTATAGATCTGCTGAATTTTTGTTTAATATATCAGGAACTTACAGTCTAGGATAGCTGCTTTTTATTTAGAAACAAAGCACATCAACAGCAAAAAACACTGGAGGGAAAAACAAAAAAAAAAAAAAAAAAAAAAAAAGGTTTGAGATCAATCACCCCCTGAAAAAGGAGACAAATAGAGGAAAATAATCTATCTTTCCAACAAAAGGCACTCAACTTTTCTAATTGGTTTCAGTAGATCCTTCTGATCTAACGCAATCAGTGTTGTGTGAGCCTTTTACTTCTGGTGTGTTTACTGATCTTTTGTTTTTTCTTTCCACTAGCTCTTAGCTTCTGATAAACCCAGCAACTCATTGTCCAGCTTCCTGTTCCTGATATGCAGAACACATGTTAGAACAACTGGCCTAATAGGGGGCAAAAAATGGTGAGGGAAACAAAAAGTGTAAAGAAAGGATGCATGGAGATACCAACACAGTATAAGCTTTAGGATGGTGAAGCTGGGATTATAGCGATTTGGTCATCATGTAAATGAGTGAATTTTTTTTTCCTGTTTAATATGAAAGTCTCTGGGTTGTAAAGGATTTGATGAAGGCATGGCTGTTTCTCATTAGCAGTGGCTGTCACTAAAATGAATATGTTGCTGAGTGTTCAGTTTCTGGGAAACGTGGTTGAAACATGAGCGGCTCTTTCGATGCAGAGCTCCGAGTCAGATGTTTTCAGAGGGGATGTTCCCCATTAAGTAATGACAGAGAGCCATACGGAACACATTACAAATTGAAATACTGATTGATGAAGTGCCTGTGGTCAGCTTTCTACAGAAATGAGAATTTTGAATGTATTATCACATCAGCATGGAGCTGATCTCACGTACCATCACATTCTGTTTTCATTTCTTTTCTGCTTCACAATCTCGCATGTGCTGGTCCAGATCATATTTATGGTGAGCAGGACCTCAGACTGAAGGAAATAAAGCATCAGGTTTGAGTGCTGATGTTTCATTGATTTAGCTTGACTCACAGAAGCTCGCTCAGTAAATCTGAGTTTGTTCATACAGCTGGGAAGATAAAAGCTTCTCCCTGTAGCAAGCTTCTCCCCTCATTTCTGAGAGTGGGGACTCAAAATACTAACTACATTGTGCCAGGAAGAAGTGGGGGTAACCTGGAAAGGCAGAGTAGTTCTTTGCAGCCTTGGGTTTATCAGATTGCAGGCTCTATTCAGGCTTCCTGAGCATTAATGCTCTCCTCTTCCCACTTAGCTTGTTTGTAGGGGGGCAGTGAGGAATATCAGCTGCTTTGTGCTGATTTCAGGGAGAGATCTCTTGGTCTGTTTGCATTCACGTTACTTATTACTTGGGCTTCAAGTTCAGGTTTGTTTCAGACACAGTGACCTCTTCTGTTTTAGAGAGAAAGTAAACAGGGCTGGTCACATGAAATGTGTATAGCTATTCACTGTGTACACAGATGGCAAGTGCATGCATGTCTGAGTCACAGCACATTTAAAGAAAAATGTACAGTCAAAAGGTAAATTTAGAAACTTAGGTCAAATTATCCAGCTTTCTCTTTTTTTCCTCTCTCTCTCCAAACAGTTCTTAAATGGCACTCCAGTAAAAACTTGAGCAGGATTGGACTTAGATATATATTTAAGTGTTTCAGACACTCAAATATTAGTGTTTGAGATCTCAGTGTGAGATGTTTACAGGGCACCACAGATCAGGTATGAAGGCCAGGTCCTTCTTACACCTTACTAAGAAGAGCTTACTCAAGAAGATGGAGTACCTTGGTTTATATTAGCACAGCTGAGGTCATAATTTGGCCCAGAACCCAAAAATATCTTATGCAAGGAATCTGAAATAAAATAAATACCGGTGCTTATAAATGTGAACAGAAGACCATATCTGAAATGAAAAACAAAAAAGTGGGAAATATCAGGAGTTCATGTAAAATCCACTGATGTATTTTAGGGTTTTTGATTATCGTTTAAGCCATACAACCAATGCCTGACCATTCCGAGTAGTTAAGAGTGCACAATCCCTAGCTGAATTCTCTTAAAAGTACCTCTTTGAGACTTGCAGAGGAAATGATAACAATCTCCTAACCCTCTTAAATATGTGAAAATACTTTTTTTTTTTTTTTCCTTTTTCTTTCCTTTCATAAAGAATTAGCTGTCGCAAACTGTTTTCCAGGGATCTGATTTCTGCCCTTCAGACTTCTACAGATGTTCTGGAAAGTGCAGAACAAGGGCACCTTGCTGGCAGGCAATTTGTTAGTTCTCACTTGGTGTTTATGCATGGCAAAAATGTATGTTAGAGTGTGTGCCAGTAGTAATGTCTAAGTACTTTGTTAATTCAAAGGATAAATAAGTGTGTAGAATAAATGATGAAATGCACACAAATAGCTGTTTGAGGATACGAAGCCATCTGCAAACTTCATAATTGTTTCATTGTTATTACACTGTTATTATTAAATTTATGCAAATATTAAAATTCCATTAATGATTAGCTGAGATTCAGATATCCTTCAGATCTTTACATCGTGAAATCATAGAAGTCTCTGACTGTGTTGGCTAGTCACTGGCAATAGGTTTGGATTTTACTGGATCTGAAGGGCTTTATGGCAGGACTAATGCTGAAATATCTGTAGTCATCATTCTGATCATCTTCCTTGTATACATCTTCTTACTATATAGAAGTCATGGCTCTGCTTTGAGAAAATGCAAATGCAATTGTATTCTCAGTATGTCCAGAAATGCTTAGATGGGGCATAGATCAGGAAGAGCTCATAGAACCACTGCCTGATATGAGCTTTGGTTCCTATGTTATTGTGCCGTTCTGGAGCACCAAATACTCTGGAGTTCTTGCTTACAAACCTCCCCAAATATAAAGTGAGAGACAGGAGCAATTTTGTCTGTGTGAAATGGTTTTAGGTAAGGAGAAGAAAGTGTTTATGGCAGGTTCTCAAATCTTCTGTGAATGTCCAAAGGAAAAATCCATGTGCAACACTGCCACAGTGCACTGTTGAACCTGTGATAGATGATCAAGACTTCAGTGCCATGAAGATTTGCCTTGGAGTGGCTATCTATCAGCCTGGGCACACCAGCTTGTTTCTGACAGGGCAGTCATAACTACCCTAAAAATGACAGACTCTATCAATTAACCTGAAGTTTTCCCAAAAGCCAGATAAAATAAGGAATTCCTTCCTTCTCCCTTTGCTTGGAGTTTCCAAGCTTCTAGTGGGGGTATCTAAATAATGAAATAAAGAATCTAGAAATTATTGAATTTACCTATTCATATATATGAAGATATCAGCATATCTATTGACTCAGATAGCATTATACATATTGCTAATAGCTGTCATTACCGTTTTCCATGAATGTAGGTTATATAAAAAGTCTTGCCAATATAATCAGCATTATTCCAGATTTCTATCTACTTTTGTTATTTTATCTTCAGAATGGCTTTCTTCAGTTTTCTTCTTTTAAAGATGACAGCCTTATTTAATTTGCCATTTCTTATACATTTCATCTGTTTTAAAAATAATATTTTCACATTGTTCAGGTAACTTAAGATCTTCTTGCTTTCTCAGATGTGATCTGGTGCTTACACATGGGCTTGGAAACACTATTACCTGCCAAAATTCTAGTGAAACTAGTGTGTTACAGACATCTGAGACTTTTGGTCTCCTATAAAAGATCTGGCATCTGTACAGCCGTTTAGGTTACTGGATGTGTTTTTGTTGGAAAATTGTCCTAGCACAACCACATTTATAAATATAAAGACATACTATGTTGCTGCTTCTCTATATTGCCATTTCCTTTTTAGATTGACATAGGTGATACTCCTAAGAGTACAAATCTAATTGCATCAGTATTAAGTGTTGTATTAGCTGTACCTGACATCTTGCTGAAAGTTGTGACGTAGGCTCTTAAGTATTAGTCTCTTCTGAAACCAAGATTTAAGGTCTAATTCCACAAAATGTCTTCACCATCTTTTTAGATTTGCACTTTTTGTCTGTTTGGTTTATTTGAAAGTTTCTGCAGTTAGGTTTCTGCTGCCGAATTACATCAGCGTTTAGAGATCAGGTAGGACCTTGAATATTATTAGTTCTGTCTTATTAATGTTAAGACAAGGATTAGGAACAGTGTGAAAAAAAGTAAGGCACAGACCTTCTGGAGCTGAACTAGTTCTCACCAGATATGAGTCCACACTAATACTGCATTTCTGTTATGAAACTTAATTTGAACTTCCTCAGAACTTCAGAGGCAGTCATCTGAGAACTAAGCGTTGTGGCTGCATAAAGAGTAAACAAATGTTTTTAGATGTGGTGGGTAGATCAGACTGGATATGAGTTTCTAAGAACATACAAAATTAAGTCAGTTTTATTTAGCAGTAGAATGGTTACTGCACAGTGGTAGCAATCACACGTGATGCATCCTGACTGGTGCAGTATCGCTAACCAGAGAGATCTGTCACAGAAATGACTGTTCTTGGCCATGCTGGGAATACCAGTAATGCGTCTAACCACTGTCAGTCATGCTGTTTCTCAGTTTGTGTGCTGAGTTGTGCACAGAAAAAAAGCATATGTAAAGATGCTGTTGATCCCTACTAAGTTACACTGAATACTTACCTAGCTTAGTACTTAGCTAAGCATTGCAGCCCCTAGATTTTAGTATGTCATTGCAGGACTTCTGTCATGAGAATATCATAGCTGGATGATCACAACTGGCCATCAGGGAGCAACTGGAGTCTACTGGTTCAGCAGGAACGATAGCTTGGACTTAAGCTTCTCTATGACTGTCACAGTTACAGTGTCAAGCAATCCATTTCATGTATTGATCTGCAATTTCCTTTTGATTTCAGTATTAATTGTAGAACACTAACTTAAGTGTACTGCAAAGTTTCTACCACTTTTTTTCTTTTTTTTCTTTTTTTCTTTTTTTTCCTTTTCTGGTACTACGTGTGACTCCTCAAATAACAGACCACCACCACAAACAACAA